AGGTAATAAGGGTTGATTTCCATGTAAAAAATGAAAGAGAAAGAGAGAAATGCGGTTGACACCATAAGACAAACTTGGATTATCAAATATGGAAAGAAAGTGAGAAAACAGTTATGACATGACCTCTTTATGGCAACATTTTGTTTATATGTAGCTGAAACTTTACGGCGAGGTTTCTCACTATGTTGGGATGAGCCATTTTTGTATAAGAGATGCTCTTATGGTCTTTTTAGGATGAATGAGGTCATTGTTAAAATATTATAATTGCTTTACTAATAGCAAAATCTTGAATAGTATAAAACAAGTAAGAGATAATGACACATCATATTTGTAATATATTTTATACCAAATTTTATCCAATAAACTTTTTTTGCTTATTAAAACAAAATTTTAAATAACGTAAATGATACTAAAATTATAAATAAGAACATTTATTTTAAAAAAAGAATAAATAATAAATATTGTAGTATTCTTGTATTAGTAATGTCAATGTATAGCTACTTAAATAAATACTAAAACCAAAAATATATTAAATCAATCGATAACAACAAACCCCCGCGTAGCGGGGGTTAATCCCTAGTAGTTATTAAAAAAAATTGAAACCCTTTCCGGAAAAGTTGTTGTTTTACTGAATTGAAATTAATTTAAAAGGTTTTATAAGAGTTTATTTAATACTTCTACACTAGGTTTATAATTCAGTTCTAAAAATGTTAAATATGTCAAATTTATCATAAATTTCAGGATGGTGTATGTAGAATCGTTCGTCGTAGTGTCAGGACATCATAAACATGATGCAAATACAACTGGCTATCGTGGATATTTTTGATGCAAATATAATTGTTTGGTATAGAGTTATTCATACAATCGCACTTCACGTTTTTAAGTGTTGCAAAGATAAAAAGATCATTTGTAATAGGATTGTAAATTAAAAATATATCCTCTAGAAATATTGTGATATATGACCAAAAAAAAAAATCTCTAAGAATTTGTTGATATAGTGAGGATCAGATCCTAGAGGGCTACAAGGAGGGTTTATCCGGAATCTTGAAAATTTTGTTTTTGGACAAAAACCTTTGGTACTTTGGAATAATTTGAATAAGAGGTTTTTGTCATTTGGGTAAGGCATTAATATTATATATCTTGGGTTTTGGTTGTAGCCAAGAGGGAGATATCTCCAAAAAGACCCAAAGAGGGAATCTTTACTCTATTGGCATCAAATCAAACCCATATGATTATGAAGGTTCCTCGGGATACATTTATAATTCTTGTAAATATTTGTTCAACGAAATATGCATGTGCTAAGATTTTTTAAGCTACGAGTATAACTTTATATTTGGTTTCACTTTCGGTTGGAGTGTAAATTCATTTTTGGCGTCATACAGAGCTCAAAGTTGTTGAACAAGAATAAAAGTTTGTCATCGCAATTTCTACTTTAATATTTTTTTCTTAATTCATGGGAAATTCATGTATGGAATCGTTTTAATATATAGAAAGCTTCGATCAAATTTGAGGTTTTTTCTTCTGTCTCCATCTCTATTTGATTTGGCAAATCCGTCTGACTCTCTTTTAATCATAAGAGTTAAAGGAATTTTCAACTTTATTTATATGACTCTTTTTAGGTCGACACAGCCACACAAGTCATTATCTGAAAATGACCGATTGGAAAAAAATGACTACCACTACACCGAGATTTGTACTTATCTTAGATCAAAGCTTCACTATCATTTTCTTCCCTTGTATTTTTGTATAGACTTTATAATAGTCATAAAATCAAAAGTCGTGTGAAATTAAATTGTAGTTTTTTGTCATATAAATCGAAATGGACGTTGAGAAGTTCTTCATTATGTGTCTTCTATTTGTCAAACAAACGTGTCCTTTTAAAGAATCTTGGGAAGCACTATGGAGGAAGAGTCAAACATAGTGAATGTTATCCATTATATAAGAGGACCAAGCTTCTCCACAAACACATCACACACTTACTCAGCAACAATCCTCTTTCTCTTTCTCTCTCCCAATCATTTACACAAAAAATTATGGAGCACAACAAGGTTGATACAGAACTTCAAGAGTCATATGATGATCAACAAAAATGGGTTCTTGATTCTTCTACCGATAGTAGAGGGAAGATTCCGCTTCGGGCTAAAACAGGAGCTTGGAGAGCTGCACTCTTCATCATTGGTATGTATATATCAAACGTTTCAAAGAGATTTTTGTATTATATCTATAAAATAAGTTTATTTGTGAAGTATTTTTACATTATAGTCTTATGGTTTGATATATGCTACAGGTATCGAATTCAGCGAGAGGCTAAGTTACTTTGGGATCTCCACGAACTTAGTGGTCTACTTGACGACCATTCTTCACCAAGATCTTAAGATGGCTGTAAAAAATACAAACTACTGGTCTGGTGTCACTACTTTGATGCCTCTTCTTGGAGGCTTCGTCGCCGATGCTTATCTCGGCCGTTATGGAACTGTCCTCCTTGCAACCACCGTTTACCTTATGGTAATTATTTCTGAAAGACCGGATAAATAATAATCTCAAAAACTATTATCGACCCTTTTCAATACTTTAAACATAGACCTTACATATACACATTTTTAGTTATTTTGTTGTGAACCTTGTATAGGAGCATCTCTTGAATACTCTCAAAACCGAGTCAATGATACCCAAAAATATTATGAGTTCAAAATTAAATATATATTTTTATATATACCTTATTAATATATGTATATATATTTTATTATTTATTTTTGTTATTTTGTTGTCGGTTTTGATCGGTAGTACTTTTTGGACACTATAAAAACCAGCTCTAATAACTTCATATCTTTATACACATCATAAATTTTGAGATTAGTCAAAACTTGATGGTTTGTTTCCCTTGTTTCTTTTCTTAATTTGTTGAATTTACAATTTTACAGGGCTTGATTTTGTTAACATTGTCTTGGTTTATACCGGGATTGAAAGCATGTCATGAAGAAATGTGTGTTGAGCCAAGGAAAGCCCACGAGATAGCCTTCTTCATTGCAATCTACTTGATCTCCATAGGCACTGGAGGTCATAAGCCAGCCCTTGAGAGCTTTGGAGCTGACCAATTCGAAGATGGCCATTCCGAAGAACGAAAAATGAAAATGTCTTACTTTAACTGGTGGACTGCTGGTCTATGCGCTGGTATTTTAACCGCGGTGACTGCAATGGTCTATATCGAAGACCGGATTGGTTGGGGTGTGGCTGGTATCATACTCACAATAGTCATGGCTACTTCGTTTTTTATCTTCCTTATCGGTAAACCGTTTTACCGTTATAGAGCACCTTCCGGTAGCCCATTGACCCCAATCTTGCAAGTCTTTGTCGCCGCCATTGCAAAAAGACATCTTCCTTGTCCCAATGATTCTTCTCTCCTTCATGAGTTAACTGATGAAGAGTATACTAAAGGCCGGCTTCTTTCCAGCACAAAGAATCTTAAGTAAGTGCATAACAACTAGGATGTTTTGTCTTGGTTTAAGTTAGATTTTGGTTATTATTTTTTAGTTTTTTTTTTAACAATAGCAAACAAGTAACATATATCCAAAATAATATGGATCGATTTGTTACAATTCCGGTCAGAGATTTAAATATGCAACAAACAAACAAAATTTTTACATAAGTTTTGAATCCGTTTATTTTTTTTTCTTTTTCTTTCGGATACTGAAAAATTGAATCCGTATAAATTAAAGCATATTATAGTATCCAAACATGTAAGTGATTCCGATTCTGTTTGCAGATTTCTAGACAAAGCAGCAGTTATTGAGGACCGAAACGAGAACACTAAAGCCGAGAAGCAGAGTCCATGGAGACTCGCAACTGTTACAAAAGTGGAAGAAGTAAAGCTACTCATCAACATGATTCCAATCTGGTTCTTTACATTAGCCTTTGGAATATGCGCCACTCAAAGCTCAACACTCTTTATCAAACAAGCCATAATAATGGACCGACACATCACCGGTACAAGCTTCATAGTTCCTCCAGCTTCATTGTTCTCTCTCATAGCTCTCTCCATAATCATAACCGTAACAATCTACGAGAAACTCCTAGTGCCTCTTTTGAGACGCGCGACAGGAAACGAAAGAGGCATTAGCATTCTACAAAGAATCGGGATCGGTATGGTTTTCTCCTTATTCGCCATGATCATTGCTGCTCTAATTGAGAAGAAAAGATTGGATTATGCTAAGGAACATCACATGAGTAAGACCATGACCTTGAGTGCTATATGGTTAGCTCCTCAATTCCTAGTCTTAGGAGTTGCGGATGCTTTTACTCTTGTGGGTCTTCAAGAATATTTCTACGACCAAGTCCCAGATTCCATGAGAAGCTTAGGCATAGCGTTTTACCTCAGCGTGCTTGGAGCGGCTAGCTTTGTCAACAATCTTTTGATTACGGTTAGTGATCATTTAGCCGAGGAAATTTCCGGGAAGGGCTGGTTCGGGAAAGACCTTAATAGCAGTCGCTTGGACCGCTTTTACTGGATGCTAGCCGCTTTGACCGCTGCAAATATGTTCTGCTTTGTGATCGTGGCCATGAGATACACTTACAAGAGTGTGCAGCCGAGCCTGGCTGTTGTTCCTGACAGCGGTGATGACGTTGAGACAGCCACGGGGACGAATAACGCGTCCAAGTTTACCTAACTTGGCTATTGGTTTGGTCATATGATAACCATTTTATGTTCCTTTTTGTGTGTGCGTTTGTTGTAATTTTGATAAGTGATGTTGTAGTCATTTTAACTTAGTGTGGCGTTAGCCTTTAGATACGTATGTACCAATCCGAACTGAATTCGAAGTCCAAATTTATATACTAAAAAATAGTTTTTAAATTATGATATAGGTATTTTAAAAACAGAGGTAATTAATCATAATAGTACATTACCTCTGTTTTACCATTATGATCGATTAGGAACTTTGAACAACCCAACGAACCAGCCTAATTATCGGATCTAATCTTGTCAAAAGACTCAAATATCTGGAGAAAGACTTAGTTACTCGACAAGGTGTATGTAACATAAGGATCAGACAATTAAAATCAAGATTCACTTATACTAAAGGACAAGAATAAGGCAACAAGTAAAAATCTAAACTCTCAAAAAGCTTCATGAGAAAAAGTTGAGTTGAAAAGATATTAGGGTGCAAGCCTTTGAGGGTCGCGAGGGAAGAGCGATGTTTTCCGGATGTTGTTCAGTCCACAGAAAAGCATGACCACTCGCTCCAACCCCGCTCCGAATCCACCGTGTGGAGGCGCACCATACCTGTCAACATTATTTGTAGCAATTGTCTGCTTAGTAAACAAGTCAGATAAACAAGTAACGGAACCGAGAGCTGGTCCAAGTTTGTAAATTATTACCTGAATGAATCGATGTATGTGGATATTGTCTTTACATCAATCCCGTGCTCCCTCGCACGTTGCTCCAATAATTCTGGGGTATGGATACGTTGAGCTCCTGATATGATCTCCTCACCTAGGAAAACAGAACACATAAACTTAGTATCAAAATGTGCATGGTAACATAATTGGTGAGAACAACACACAAGGTAAAAAAAAGATATGCACCTCTGATGAAGACATCAAAGGAGTTGCTGTAAAGAGGATTATCAACACAAGTCATAGTGTAGAAAGGCCTAACTGCCGTAGGAAACCGATGCAGAATATAGAACTCAGTGTTGTACCTATATCGAAAAACAACAACAACACGATCGTGTTAGAACAACTTGTAACTGTGAGATACATAACTGAATCATATTTTGATAACGAAAATAATATCTCGGATTACTTTTCCAGTACAAGTTGGCCAAGTTTTCTCTCAGATTCAGTGTTTAAATCGCCAAGAGGATCAATCTCCACACCAGCTTCCTGTCAACACATATATGATCAAGATTACAACTATTATTGATAGTCCATTCGAAAAACTCAGATAGAATACAAAAAAAATACAAGTCATACCTTAAGCATTTGAACCCCTTCTTCAAACGTTAACCTCAATGTCTTTTCAAGAAACTGCATGAATATTAGGCGCCAATGATCAGAATCCACAAAAAGATAAAAAAAAAAACTCGGTTTCTGATATTATATATGGTTTACCATCAAAGGTTGAAATGGATATTGCTTTCCAATAGCTTCAAGTTCCTTTTTGCACTTGCTATTCAAACTAGTGAATATAGACACAAATAACTCGTCCACAAGGTCCATTATCTGCAGAAACAAGAGATATATTAGCACTAGTACTGGCACAGAATAGAAGATACTTGAGATGAATTTAGATTATTAACAGCAGTCTTACCTCAGAATAGTGTTTATCAATCTCCATCTCCACATCAAGACCCACAAATTCACACAGATGTCTATGAGAGAACGACTTTTCTGCTCTGAAAACAGGACCTATCTCAAAGACGCGTCGCAAGTCACCACATATTGCCATTTGCTTGTGAAGCTGGGGAGACTGAGCTAGACAAGCAGGCTGTCCTTGGTATTCCAACCTAAATACAGCAGAACCTCCTTCACTACTACCGGCCAGGAGTTTCGGTGTGAAGATATTAACAAAATCCTTGGATAGCAAATTTTCACTGAAAAACTACAAAAGGGATAGCTAATTCAGCAAAGCAACATAGAAGAACAAAACAACCAGATCATGGAAATACCAAAACATACTAGTGATAAAACATTTCCTCCATGTTTTTAGAAAAGATTAAGGTCTTACATTTACGAGTTTGGACTTAAGGGCGACGATGGCTTGATTAGCCGGTGTTCTGAGGTCAATCACCCTATGATTCAAACGTGTATCCTGATTGACACGACCAGCTCGTCTTCCAGTCTGCAACAATCATGAAAACAACAGCTATTATGACCACCATATAAGCATAAGAAGAACACATCAAAAATTGGACCAGCTCCAACTAAATCCTTGAAACATGAGTAAACCATACCTCAAGATATTTTTTTATATCTACTTCACTTCGGGCAGCATCCTCCACACTAAATGGTAATCTTGTCAAGGATTTGTTGACGCAATACAGCTTTCTCACCTGAATTTCAACCTGCTGCGTAGTTCCCTTTACAGGGTCTTTGGGGAGAACGACGACACCGATGACATCGACCATGGATTCGCAACTCAGCTTCTCGAGGTATTTAATCATGTTGACGCTAAAGTTGGTCTCCTCCGATTGCTTGGCCACGCACTGAACAGTGAATCCACTTTGCCTCAAGATCACAAACACTATGCTAGGTTGTACGCGATACGTGTGAACTCGGCCTCTGATCAAAACCTCAGATCCCGCTATTTCTTCCACCAAATTGCTCACTTCAGTCCACCTCTTCCCTTCAACAGCCTCTCTCCATATTCCGGCTTTCGGATGTTGGAGTAAGCTTGAAGATAACTTGTACGGGAAGCAACTAAACCGAGTTATGGTTTAGAGAGGATAATATCAAAGAGAGGATAATATCAAATATATTAGGAGTTATCTAATATATACATAATCCTAATGAGATTAGGATTTGAGTTTCTTGTATAAATAGAGAGGTTGAGTCATGACCTATTTGTGTGTGAATTGTGTGGTTTAAGAGAGAACAAGAAAGCTTAAGTTTTGAGTTATTTTCTTAAGCATAATAAAGTGAGTTTTACTTTGTTGATCTTGAATTCTTATTCATACAAATTTCTATTCTATATTTGGTAACAGAGCTTTAGGTTTAAAAACAAGATAAAGCTTTTGACGTTGAAGAAAGAGTCTTCACGAAGCCATGGCCGATGACGACGCTATCGTCGCCGCCAACACCACACGATTGATCTTCCAATCGATCCCGGAGGCTCTTATATTGCAAGTAGGCAAACTCGATTCTCCGAAAAGGATTTGGGAATCAATCAAAACACGTCACATGGGGGCTGAACGTGTTAAAGAAGCAAGACTCCAAACCCTAATGTCAGAGTTTGAGAGAATTAAGATGAGAGACACGGACACAGTCGATAGCTTTGCGGAAAGGTTATCGGAGCTAGCATCGAAAGCAGGCACTCCTGGAGAAACAATTGAAGATCAGAAACTTGTGAAGAAGTTTCTCAATAGTCTACCAAGAGGCAAGTATATTCAGATCATAGCCTCTCTCGAGCAAGTGCTAGATCTAAACGCAACAGGATTTGAAGATATCGTAGGAAGACTCCAGGCCTATGAAGAGCGTATTCTCGATGAGGAGAATCACGGAGAAACACAAGGCAAACTGTTGTACGCAAACTCAGAACAACAGAGCTGTGTACCTTCACGAGGAAGAGGTCGTGGAAGAGGATGCAGAGGTTTCAGAGGACGAGGCAGGGGAAGATTCAACTCGCAAGAAAGGACAACTACTAATTACAATGATCAAAATCAAGTGAAGTAAAGGTGATTGGTCTCAAGTGGATTTTCAAAATCAAGAAGAATGTGGATGGTACTATAAACATGTACAAGGCGAGGCTTGTAGCTAAAGATTATGTACAAGAATCCGGCGTTGATTTTGATGAAGTTTTCGCACCAGTTGCTCGTATTGAGATGATACGATTACTAATTGTTTTAGCGGCTTCATATGGATGGGAGATTCATCACTTGGATGTGAAAACAGCTTTCTTACATGGAGAACTGAAGGAAGACGTGTATGTTGATCATCCCGAAGGTTTTGAAGTGAAAGGAGAAGAACACAAGGTGTATAAGCTTTCAAAAGTCTTATATGGTTTAAGACAAGTTCCACGAGCTTGGAACACAAAGCTTGATCAAATCTTAAAAGGAATGAAGTTCAAGAGATGCATGAAAGAAAATTCAGTGTATCGTAAGGAAGAAGAAGACACTTTTCTCATAGTTACGGTGTATGTAGACGACTTGTTCGTGACCGGCAACAATCTCGAAGTGATAAGAGAATTCAAGATAGGAATGTCATCTAAGTTTGAGATGTCGGACCTCGGGAAACTCACATACTACCTTGGTATTGAAGTACATCAAGGAGAAGATGGAATTGAGATTAAGCAAGAGGGATATGCTAGTAGAATCTTGAGAGAAGAAAGTCTAGAAAGTTGTAATCCGACTCTAATACCCATGATGTTTGGACTGCAAGTGTCAAAGGCACAAGAAGAAGCAGAGATAGATGCTACAAGTTACCGAAGGAACATTGGCTGCTTAAGGTACCTTTTACACACTCGTCCGGATTTGGCATTTTCTGTTGGAGTTGCTAGTAGGTATATGCAAAGCCCTCGCAAGTCACATGGTGATGTGATGAAGCATATACTTCGGTATCTAAAGGGAACAACTGCATTTGGCTTGAAGTTTGGTCGAGGAGGATCAAAGAAGTTAATCGGGTTTAGTGATAGTAGCCATAACATTGACCCGGATGATGGGAAGAGCACAATGGGTCACGTGTTTTATTTTGGTAAGAGTCCAATAACATGGTGTTCACAGAAACAAGATGTTGTGGCAATGTCGTCTTGTGAGGCAGAATTTATGGCGGGAACGGAGGCTGCAAAGCAAGCCATTTGGCTTCAAGACCTACTTAGTGAAATCGTCGGAGCTCCTTGTGAGAAGGTTACCATACTTATCGACAATCAATCAGCAATTGCACTCACAAAGAATCATGTTTTTCACGGTAGAAGCAAGCATATACATAGACGTTACCACTTCATAAGAGAATGCGTTGAGAATGGGCTAATTGAAGTCTTACATGTTTCGGGAGATGAGCAGAAGACGGATATACTGACCAAAGCACTTGGGAGAATCAAATTCAAGGAAATGAGGAGTCTCATTGGAGTTAAGGACATGGCACAAGAAGATTTCAAGCTTAAGAGGGAGAATGTTGGAGTAAGCTTGAAGATAACTTGTACGGGAAGCAACTAAACCGAGTTATGGTTTAGAGAGGATAATATCAAAGAGAGGATAATATCAAATATATTAGGAGTTATCTAATATATACATAATCCTAATGAGATTAGGATTTGAGTTTCTTGTATAAATAGAGAGGTTGAGTCATGACCTATTTGTGTGTGAATTGTGTGGTTTAAGAGAGAACAAGAAAGCTTAAGTTTTGAGTTATTTTCTTAAGCATAATAAAGTGAGTTTTACTTTGTTGATCTTGAATTCTTATTCATACAAATTTCTATTCTATATCGGATCCTCCGTCGATTGCAACTCGTTAAGAGTCACGTCGCCGTAGTTACTTGAAAACTCGTCATCTTCTTCCAGAGACTTTGAAGCTGTCTTACGAGTGGCTTCCTCTTGTTCCTGCCGGCTGCGTAACTTCTCTTGTTCCTGCCGGCGGCGTAACTTCTCTAGCTTCGCGGCTTCCTTCTTCGCCGCTTTCTTGCTGATCTTTTCTCCAGGCACCTCCGGCGGAATTTGATGCTCCTGGGACATGATGGCTCGCTTGCTCGCTCAAAGGGTTCGAAGAGATTGGTAACTAGGGTTTCCTTTTTCTGTTTTTCTATTATCAAATATCGAATGAGTCTTACAAGTTATAATTGTTCTACAATCCTAAAGAAAACGTAATTGGTAAGTTCGAATTAAAAAAGGAAAAAGGAAAAAATAAAAACGACGACACATAACCGACTCAAAAAAAACCAACACTATCTTATCTTAGCTTGATGGACAAGATTTGCTCAAAAAAAAAAAAAAAGCTTGATGGACAAGAAAGCCCAAAACAGGGTTCATCAGAAACCCTACGCTTTGTTTATCTAGATTATTAAAAGTCAGAAAAATAAAATAGATGGCCCCGTTAATGTTTTAGGTATTCGTTTAGACCCCAATACTTTAGAATTGGTGTTATTTAATAAAATGTTACACGAGACGAGCGTGACCAAGAGAAAGACGGTTGCTGTAGCTTTAAAGTTACAACAATATTACAATTATTATTAGTTCTTGGCTTTCGGATATTCGGTTCGGTTACGGTTTGGTATTTTCGGATTTCAAATATTTTGTTCTGGAATTTAGTATTTATTTGAGTATTTTAGAATTTCGGTTCAAGTTCTATTAGCTCTTCAGTTCCGTAAGTGGTCATTTGGCAAAGAAAATTTCCGGGAATGACTAGTTCGGGAAAGACCTTAAGAGCATATCCAACAGTAGTGTCTTGAGCAATGTCTCAAGATTAAAAAATAAAAAATAATAAAAAAGTAGGAGAGAGGGTAGACACAGTTTCTGGTTTGAGAAATTTTGAGAAACTGTGTCTCCACTTGTCCTTATATTATTGGTCAAATTATCTTTTTATAATTTAAATAAATAATTTATTTATTATAAAATAATTAAAATAATATTTTTGAGACACCCACACAATGTCTGATGGATGGAGATGGTCTAATAGCAGCCGCATGGGCCGCTTTTACTTTATGCTAGCCGCTTTGACTGCTGCAATATGTGCTTCTGTGATCGTGGCCATGAAAGACACTTACAAGAGTGTCCAGCCGAATCTGGCTGTTGTTGGTGACGGTGGTGATGACGTTGAGACAGCCCCAGTAACTAATAATACGTCCAAGTTTACCTAACTTCGCTTTTGGTTTGGTCATATGATAACCATTTTATGTTTCCTTTTAGTGTGTGTTTATTGTACTTTTGAAAAGTGATTTTACAGTAATTTTAACTTAATAACTAAACTGAATCAGATCAAATTAAGATGGTTAACTTTGACGGAGTGAGTTTTTCCATGAAAATATTTATATTACATCATCATCATGTGTTTATTTAACAAATTAAATTCATGATTAAAAAATTAAATATCTCCTGGTTTAATTTTAATCAAGAAACTATACGAATCCAGCGAGCAATGCTAGGAACTCCCTGGTTAACGGCGAAGGCCATATAATACCCAGGCGGAGAAACGGCGCCGTTAGGTGGAGCCGTACACTGAATCCTATAACGACCAACCCCGTCAGGCACAGACGGAGCAACGGTCAACTTAACGAGCCGTTGACCTTGAGAAAACGAATGAGTCGCAAAAGGCGCACTTCCCCAATTCATCTGTATAATCTCCACCACCGGCAACGGCACCGTCACGAACACGTCGAAGACCTCTCCGTACCGTACGATCTGCGGGATTTCTCGGATCTCAGGCCGGAGATTAGCTCGATCCGGCGAAAGATACTCCGGCGAAAACGCTTCGATCCGTAGCTCTGTTGGGAATTCGGCGTTGAATTTGTAGAAATAGTGAGGGTTACTTCCGGCGAGAAGAATTCTACCGTCCGGTAATAGATTCGCCGTGGAATGATACATTCTCGGTACAGTTCCTGGATTCAGTGTCATGAATCGTAAACCAATTGGTTGATCGGGTCGGTATAATAGCGGGTATAAACACGGATCGGATCCCATTTCGAATCCTTGGCTACCGGCTTGAGCTCCGTTTATGATCAGAATCTCTCCCGTCGGTAAATTCACCATATCTCCCATGATTCTCCCGAACGGCATCTCCTCCGTCACCCAAACGGGATCCACCGCGGTAGCTACGATTCGTCCGCAGGTTCCATGCGCCGGAGCGTCAATTGCACGCGCTGTGAAGGCCCCGGATTGAGCTCCGCCGCAAATTAGTATCTCCGCCGTGGTGAAATCTCCTTGGATCGCTAGCATCGCCGATGATCCACCTGACGGATAATTCCTCGGACCACCTTCTAACGGTGGATACTCTTTCACGACGGTGTTTATCCGGTGATCGTATTTAACGGCGCGACTGTTAGCGAAGACGAAGAGGTTGCCGCCGTCGTCGTCGGGGAGGAGATGAATGTACGGATAGAGATTATCCATTTGTTTGTCTTCCACGTCAGCAAGAAACTGAAACGGAACGGCACCGTTTTGGCGTGGAGGGTAATACTCAACGGTATTGGTTCCTCTGCCACCGACGATGATAACCGAACCATCCGGTAATATCTGGTTAGTAGCGTACCAGCGTCCGGTTATCAATTCGGTATCTTGAAGCTCCACCCAATCGCACGTCTCGTTCGGGTCACACGGTTCGAATTTTCGGATCTTTTTAAACCCGTCTTTATCCCCACCCGTTTGAAGCAACGATCCATCGGATAAAAACTGACCCGACGAGCACCACGTGTCGGTTTGTATCATCAATGGTCTGATCTGATTTGTACCAAGGTCGAACAGAACCGAGTGAGCATAGCAATCGTGCTTCAGAGCTGCGTCTTTTGGGTCTCTCCGGCACCGGTGCCGGTCAAGAGCCTTTCTCGACGGTCCGATGTTTGTTCGATCTAGAAGGATGACCGTGTTGAACCGGGTCACCGCCGTGTGCATAGAAGCTATACCGGCGTCTTGTACAATGAGTTCCCACGTGCCTGGTAAATCGGCACGTGCGATCGAGAAGAAAAGAATGGTTTGAAGTACAAGTACGATCCCTGGAGTGTAATAAGGAACAAGTTCTGCCATTTTTTGTTGGCTAAAGCTTTTGGAAGCTTTCTGCTTCACTTAAAAGAAGATTAAGTGGGGAAAAAGGTGTACACTGCGAATTAATCACAGCCGTTGATTTATCTGCGATGATTTTTGATTCGATGATCATAAAAGTACGACTATGTGTGGGTCCCTTGGATTTCAACAAAAGAGATTAAAGACAATTTACTTAGAATGAATTAAATTTATTTCCTTGAAATTAGTTCTACATTCAGAATTCAATTCGTTAACTGCAATTTTACTACTATTAGTATTAATCAATATAGTATAATCTAACTTTTCACAGTTTTTAGACGAGGTAGACAACATGTTAAATGGTTCAAAGTTCAAACTACGACAAAAAACTATTTTCATTAACAGGAAAAACAATTGTAATCAGAGACAGAGCCTTGGAGGTCAAAAAATATTTAGTAAACGTATTTTTCAGTTAATTAACTAGCAGGTTACCCCTTTTTAATTCTCAAAAAGGTATAATCATGAAAAAACAATCAACAAAATAAAACTTTTTCTACTTTTTTAGTAGATAAAAAAATATTTTGTGTCTTTTGTTAAAAAAGTTTCAATTAATATGAATCTTGGAGTATACGGGTTTTTATGAATTACTCTAAACAGCTCACTAATGACTAAACACTCTTAAAAACAAAAGGGGGAAAAAGATATTTCATTTGCAAGTGGTCCAAATTACAAATTAGAAAAGTAATGTTCCTTTCAACAACTTAACTCATAAACCTAAACATAACGAGATCAACTTTATAATTTGGAACTTTTTTTCTCTACAGCTCAAATCATTTCACAGCCATTCATAAAATGATTAGTCCTATTGGTTAACGTATACTTTTTCTTACCTTTTCTCCATACTTCTCCTTTTTTCTACTATCATTTCGTCATCTTGATGCTTGGACAACAAAATAAATCATACTTCTTCTACATGATTAGTTGATAAATTAATTTATTAATTCACTAATTTAGATTAGTTGATAAGCTTTTGGGTTGTGCTGTCTGCAGCCAGTGGTCTCAAAAAGTATGACCCATTTATAATTGATTTCACTCTTATAATGTGTTTCAAAATGTATAATCCTTTTATTGTCACTCTCTTTCTCATTACATATAGTCGTAGGGATTATTAGCCTAGTATAGCCTTGGTATTGGATTCCTAGAGGTTCGTATTGAATACAAGTAATTACATAATAGTATAAGTTCAAATATGAGTAGGTTTGACGATAGAGGATAACCTTCAAATTTCAGAATATTTGTGATATGATTCGACCATGTTTTACATATTGACTATTCAATATGATCCAACCATGCCATAACGGTAAGTTACTTGTAGTACATTTCTAGAAGAAGAAAACAAAAGACTTTATAGTGAGAAAATTTATGAGATAAATTTATGTAAAAGACTATATCAACATTTACATTAGCTACCACCGGCTAAATATATACTATTTTCCTGAACATAAATGTTGTTGGATTGTGGTGTATCTATGATGTATCATGTATCCATCGAGTCTAAAGACAATTGCATTAATAATATTTGGAAATGTCAATTACTAATCGCGATGTAGACATGTAATAATAATATTATTACTGGCAAAAGATATACTCCTATTTGTTAGTTGTTTATTATTTTATTTTTTTCTTATAGTGAAAATAATAACAAAAAAAAAAACACAACTACAACAACTATACAAGTAATTGATTAAGAAGTAGTTTAATAAGTTGTGTTAGTGTTGTTGATGTGACACGTTTATAATGTTTATTTTTGTTAAACTGTTGGCGATTTGGCGGTTTTGAAAATTCGAATTTCCAAAATCAAATTTGTGTTTCTTTTTCCTTTTTTTTTTTTTGTTTCTTAAGTTTTGTCGGAACAACAAATCTTGCGTCATCTTATTTTACCTATTTTACCAAAATACCCTTCTGCCTTCGCAGACCAGGTTTTAGGGGTTTCTCTAGGGTTTACCTTCTCCACGACGATTTCTCCAATCTCCGATCACAAAATTCAGAAATCATTACGCTTTAATTGATGCGAATTCATCTTCCATATCCACCGAATCAACCACAGAGTAATCTCACAGAGAGAAAGAGATTTGAATATGGAAGCTCGAGTCGGTGTAGTGGTAGAAGGAGGACAGAGAGCTCTTAATACAGCCACCGCCACCGCCGTGCATAACAGTGTTGTTGACGCCGGAAACAGGAAGCTGTTACAGCAACAACCGCAGACGCAGACACAAAGCTGCCATCAACATCACCAATGTAATAAACAGTCGCTGAATCAGCAACAAGGGCATTTCGGCACCGTTGAGCGTCTTCTCGCCGGTGGAATCGCCGGCGCATTTAGTAAAACTTGCACCGCTCCTCTTGCTCGCCTCACCATCTTGTTTCAGGTATCTTTTTTACAAGTTAATGTGAAATTTAAGAAATTTTGAGACTTCTGAATTTGAATCTTGGTGTAGTTGTGTTGGAGCTAGTGTAAGGATCCTTTTATGAAAGAAAGAATGAAACTTTGACTTACCCTAAGGCTATTTGAAGCTGAATTGAAGACTTTATTGTTGTATTGACAATTTGTTATGTGTTATCACAGATACAAGGGATGCAGTCGGAAGCTGCAATTTTGAGCAGTCCAAATATTTGGCATGAAGCTTCGCGTATTGTCAAGGAGGAAGGGTTTAGAGCATTTTGGAAAGGAAACTTGGTTACTGTAGCTCATCGGCTTCCCTATGGTGCAGTTAACTTCTATGCATATGAAGAATACAAGACTGTGAGTTGCATTCAAGTCTCTTTCAGAGTGTTGTCTTTAGTAGTTCACGCTGATCCGTCGCTTAGCCTTGCCTTGCTTTTTGTTTGCAGTTCTTGCACTCAAATCCAGTCTTGCAGAGTTATAAAGGAAATGCAGGTGTGGACATTTCTGTGCACTTTGTAAGTGGTGGCTTGGCTGGACTAACAGCTGCTTCAGCTACCTACCCTCTCGATCTTGTAAGGACACGGCTTTCTGCACAGGTAATTGTATTATCAACGTTTATTTTAACTATTATGAAGAAGGGTTTTTTAGTCTCCCCTTGGCCTAAATACATTATCTTTGATCCTTTCCAGAGAAATTCAATCTATTATCAGGGTGTTGGGCATGCCTTCCGTACCATTTGCAGAGAAGAGGGAATTTTGGGTCTATATAAAGGACTTGGTGCGACATTGTTGGTATGTTTTATTTGCCTCCCCTTGTTCTTCTGAATGAACTCCTTGGTAGTGTTAAATTAGTCGGTATAAGTAACCATTTAGCCAATACCTTCCACTGCAAATTTCCCTAGGCTTCTCGGGTAGATTGGAGTGTCTTAGGTGGTCTTAATGTCCAATTAGGAGGTCTAAACAGCTGATTAGGTGTTAAGGCACTTGATAACGAGACTTATATGCACTAGGAATTTTAATTGTTGTGTAAGCAGTTAAGAATATAGACATGATTTCTCGATGTTGCATTTCATGCTCAGGATCAAATTTCGGAAGAACTTGAAATAGTGCGAGACTGTAATTACTTAGTGACCACTCTAAAAACAACTTTAAAACACTCGACAGGCTTGAGAATTTAAGGAATCTATCTTTAAGTCCAATGATGATGAAACTGAGGTTGTTGGTTGTAAAAAGAATAACACGCTATAGTAAAAAAAACTGAAGAAGTAGATGGTTGTGTTACAGTATTAAAAGTTTAACTAAATCATCTATAGTTTAAGTTTGTGTTTTTCTTTGGTGTATTTTCTAGTAGTAATATAGAACTAGTGTACTTGGAATCGTCTTAGATGCTCTAGGCTCTAGCTGTAAGATTACCATCCAACTAGTATTGTCTTGAAGCTTTTTGGTACATCTTTTGTATTGCAGGGTGTCGGTCCAAGCCTTGCAATCAGCTTCGCTGCGTATGAGACTTTTAAAACATTTTGGCTCTCTCATAGGTAAATGCCTCTTTATTTTGGGATTTGACTATCAATATTGCATAGTGAGTTCATCTGTCCAATAAGAGTCTTAACTTATCCTATCATAATACATTTGTCTTTGAACTTGTTCAGGCCTAATGATTCAAATGCCGTGGTTAGTCTTGGTTGTGGCAGTCTCTCCGGAATTGTTTCCTCGACAGGTTTCTTATCTGATCTGACCCTTCTCTCTAGTTACCATAGATAATTTAGCCCAAAGAAAATTACACGAAAGTTTGTTATATTATACTGATAACTTTTGTAGCGACATTCCCATTGGACCTGGTGAGAAGAAGAATGCAGTTGGAAGGAGCTGGTGGGCGAGCGCGAGTGTATACCACAGGACTCTTTGGAACATTCAAACACATATTTAAGACAGAAGGCATGAGAGGGCTATACAGAGGAATCATACCAGAATACTACAAAGTGGTTCCTGGTGTTGGCATTGCCTTCATGACATTCGAGGAATTGAAGAAGCTCTTATCGTCTGCCCCTAATTAATAACGTCTTATATACTTTAGTGTCAGCTGCTTTATAGAGTTTGGAGAAGAAAAAACAGAAAATCATTTTTCCTTTGGTTGTAGTAGTTTTTTTTTTTTATCTTCCGGTGTATAGTAGTAGTAGTAGTTGCAGCTTTTTTTTAGGTGTTAAGATTTACAATTTGTTGCTCCTCCATTAGCATCTCTCGAGATAACAATTTTGCCATGTTCAAGAGCTCTTCCATTGATCCAAGCCTTATGCTATTTGTATCTCTTTCCTTATGGATTCTTAATATTATATGTATCTGCAGAAAGTTTTGGTTTTGCTCTGTTTTATCTTTATCTTTACTCAAGTTTTTGTTTTTGCTCTGTTCTAATGAGAGACATTGTAAAATGTTTGGTACAACAAGCATATTTGAGAAATTACGGTTAAAATTCAATCATTGATTTGACAATATAGATTTGATATCCATTATTACAGCAACATGGAAATTTAACCAAATTCATGTCAAATATATTAAAATTAAATCTATAGAAACAATTGATGAGCGTCGCAACAAAGAGAATGTTACAAGTCCCTCCGGATTAACCCCAAAAGAATTAAGAATTACGTTTTGGCTGTACAATCAAATGATTACAATTACAGACACTGAACAAACAAACCAGAAAATCATTTCGGGTTTGCTTGTTCCTCCTCATTGCTTCTGAGGATATGAAGTTCTTCTATGTGATTGAAGATGTTTTAATCTGGCTATGAGGGAATCAATATATGTTCTGAGTCGATACCTTACTGAGTTTGTGAGTGTTAAAGGTGGATTGAGAATCAACGTCTGCGCCTCCACTACAAGGAAGACTAGTAAATGCACCGCTTTTGAGTAGAGGTTTCCTGCGTTCTCTGCGTCTCCCATCACTTCATCTACCTGCAATTGTCAAATTCTGAAGTCTCAACAAAAAGAGAGAGATTTGCCTACTCTTTAAAGACTTTTAAGTAAACCAAAAACCGGATTGGGCACTCCTACTTGTGAGTGAAATGTAAATGACAAACAATAGTAACCAGATTCGTTTGGGCTTGTTCATCAAGGAAATATAAACTTACTCCTCCACTTATGCCAAGAGCAAGAGCTGCTTGAAGTATTATCTCCATTGCATCCGGCATCTTTGTATTATCTACAATTATGTTTTAGTTTAGCGATTCTGACTAATGGAAATAAAGAAACGAGAGATTGTCTCAGCAGTTTGGTTACTCCAAGAATATGCATACCAGATTCAACAAACTTGGCAAGTTCTTCAGCACGCTCAACTTCCTGGACAAATTCTTTCTGAATCTGAGACAATAACTTCTCTGATCCTTCGTGGCTGATATTTCTTCTTACTCTGTTAATGTCTGGGCGCAGGCTTCCTTCTATACCCGAGACTGCCTGAGTATGACAGATGTGCAGTGCTTGATTCCAAATTGCAAGAATCACCAGTTGGATCGAGAAAGCTTCTAAATGCTTACCATTTTCACCCTATGAAAAAAGAAGCATGAAAAGAAAAGCTCAGAAACTCAAGTTAGCAAAGTTTTGTAGAGAACATTACTATATTGGAAGTTGCTTACCCTTTCATGAACCAATTCTGCTACTGCTGCTGCACACTTTTGCAAAGACCGAATTCTTGTCAAGCTGTTAGTTGAGGGCTGTTCAAAAGCATCTACAAGATCCAGAGACCCATGGGAAGTACCCGGGATATAATTCTGACTCTCCAAGCTTCCAAATCGACTAATGTTGTTGCCAGTGGCACCAGCTATTTGCATAGGAGCCGTTAAAGTAGTTACATTTCTCTTGCTGAACTCTACAGGAGGGGAATGTGATTTGAATGGGTAATTGAAAGGCTTCGGAGAACCAGATGAAGATGATGGTATATCAACCGGTGGTCCAGATATCAGAACATAGTCTTGATCCATTGGGTCTGGAGAATCCCCTACAGCAGAACCAACGTATATCAGAAACTGCGCGAAACATCTTTTCCAAAGACAATTTTATTTTTCTGGGCTAAGACGATTATAGAAATTTGATTACCTCTTCCTTGAGTACTAAGTGATCTTGAATCAGGCAAGCTTGACGGTTTGAATTGGCTTCTATCTGATAATCTATGGCTTTCAAACTTGAAATTATTGGTTTCTGCTCTATGAGTGACTCTACTATATCTGGAAGTAAGTTCCATATTTTTCAAAGGACTAGAAGCTGCCTCTTTTCTTTCAACACTAAATCCGTAAGATGACTTCATCGGGGAAGTATGTTTCAAAGACGAAGGGCTTCCTTCAGGTCCACTAGAATCATCATCTAAAAAAAATGGCAAACAGTCTTCTTGAGAAATTTCTTCCATATTTCTTGAAGGACTGCTCCCAGATGAATGAAAATCGTTCATTGTTCGTGAATCTAATCTACTCCTGCAACATAAATCATCATCAATAAAACAGTTTTAACCACAAATGATAGAAGAAACTAGTTTAGCACCGCATATACCTTGTGAAATCATATGATTGTTTGTCTGAAAGAAAAGGATGATGAAAAAACTCTTCAAACGTCAAACGTTCCACTGTCAGACAGAAGATTCCCAAAAAATAAATGTTAACACTAACAAATAAGGACCATCAAAACACTTTTAGTGAAACAAACCCATAGACTTAGGAGATGAAGGGAGCTTAATGGTAAAACTCCATTTGAAATCAATGCCCAGAGTGTTTAAGACACACCCTAATTTTAGTTGACAATTTCGAATTTTTAGAATACTTTTTAACAAAACAAAACTGTAACCATGACAAAAAAAAAAGAAGAAAATAGTCCGACTTTCCCATTCTCTTCAAAATTAGATTAACCCACATATGCTAATAGAATCTGGAAATATATTTACAAAGATGATTACCTGGATTACGACGCAGTAGCTTCTGGCATAGATCTTTACAGTCGGTACTCAAATCTCTACAGTCTGCTGGAAAATGTAATTCAGTTGATCTTATAATGTTCTGGAGCAACTGTGGACATTAGATGGAGAGCATGTTAACGGATATTGCATCCACCAAAACACAAATATTTACATATTTTAGTTCTTTATAAACCTTGATATACAAAACCTGAATTTGGCTGTTTCCTGTAAAAGGGGTTCTGCCGGTCACAAGTTGAAATAATATAGCACCAACACTCCAGAGATCTGCCTGTGTATCAACGAAGATTTTAAGCAGGATATGGTATAAGAAAGGCCCATGTGGCATATAGAAACAAAAGTCGCACCTTTGCATCATATTTTTGAAGCTGCATAATCTCTGGGGCCATATACAGAGGTGAACCACATAAAGTTTCTGCCAAACCCCTAGGCTGCAACGATCTGAGCTAAGATAGTATGATGTTCAAGTACAAATTACAAACTCAAAGTGGTGTAATAAGAATGCTACCCCAGTCAAAAGAAATGCAATATTACTTAAAGCTAAATGTATAGATAGATACAAGAAAAGCAGAAAAAAACCCATATAAGACCAACTCTGATTATCACATTACATTCATTGTTTCTATAACAAAGGCGCTGACGATAATACCTTGCAAATCCAAAATCGGCAATCTTCAGAGCTGCATCATTATCATCTGTGGATAGAAGAAGATTCTGTTTCAAAAACGAAAGAACCTTAGCAATCGAATTTCAAGTTTAGAAAAAAATCTCTATCTCTGCTATGGCAAGAATTTCTCAGAAACCATATCCTGTGAGAAAGTAGAAAACATGTTTTAGAGGAACATAACAGATTACCCTTCTACAGCATCCTTACAACCCTTTGAGAGATTAATCTTTTAGTAAGAGCTCTAACATATTGTCATGATCTGATTAACAAGAGAAAATCATACCTGAGGCTTTAAATCGCGGTGAATGATATTATTGTCACGAAGAACTTGTAAGCCAGCCGCTAACACACAGAAAATTCATATAAAGAATGAGAATGAGATTCTACTGATCCAAACAAAACAGCAAATGAAGAAGAATCTTTAACAGACTTTACCTAACTGCAGCATAAAATGCTTAGCAGTAGCTTCAGGAACACTTCCATGACTATGAATATACATAGACAGATCACCCCCTTTGCAGTACTCCAACACCAAATTTATCTTCCCTGGAGCCTAAATCAAGTTTCATAAAGTTTAAACATTTACCATTTCCAATACAACAAATCATCAGCCAACATCATCTACGGATTTCGAAAAAGCTAAAATTTTCAACAAGGGTCAAGCTAAAAACACATTTGCACACTGTTCTACAGGTATAAACTCAAAACCCAGCAACAACGAGACAAATGATATACCTCGATCATGTCAATAAAGCGAATGATGTTAGGATGATTAATCTTCCTTAAGATGATAATCTCCGACATGAGACTCTCTTGCAACTTCTTATTAAGCCGAACCATAGCGATCTCCTTGATAGCAACGACGGTGCCATGAACAAGATGTCTCCCTTCCCAAACAACCGAGAACGAACCCGACCCGATTTGTCGACCCACGGCGTAATCGCCGATAACCCTTCCGCTTCTCCCCGCCGCCGCCGCCAACGACGACTGAGCCATTTTTACCTCCGACGAAGGAGCAAAAATCAACTCCGGAGATCCGAAATTGAGCTGATGATGATTAAAAAGTTGCAGAAATTGAAGGATTTTTCTAAAACCCGCTTTGGGGTTGAAAAAAAAAGGATTGAATTGGAGGCGGATTCAGATAAATGATAGAGAAGAAAGAAAGGTTTATTTTGAATTGAATTCAATGCAATGTTTTTTTACTACTATTATAACAAAGGAATCAACTTGTAAAACGACGCTTCTGATTATACGATCGGAGATTATTAATTTAATAGTATGGTTTTATTTAAAATTACGGCTGAGTGGACATAATGACAGCATGATTTGGTCTTAAACTATGAGAGCTGACGGTTCCACGGTACTTTTTTTTTTATAATTAACTCACCCCTACATGCTACACCAATCATAACAATTCAAAGTTATGAAAAAAAAACTACAAATTTATGTTTCTACGCGTTACTAACAAAATACATAAATCTTGAAATATTTTAAAATTGTAAACATACTACGGATACTAAATTTAGAAGACAGAAAATATGTTTCAGCACTATATTTAACACTTAAAAAAATTCAGTTCTTGTTTCGAGGAAATAATCAAGAGTTCAAGACAACATGTGAATATGTGATTAGTGTGGTTGTAAAACTAATGCATTCATTGCCGTCCAAGACTGTTGTTTCTTGATCAAATTAATTAATACTGTGCTCACCAAAAAAAAAAAAATTAATTAATACTGTATATTTTAATTATTGGTGTCCGTTACAAATTTCTATATTTTTATATATTTCCAAAACAAACTTCTATATAAACTGCTTTTGGATTGAAGTCTCGAAAAAACAATTCACAGAAAAATATTTGTCGATAAAATAAAATAAAGATGGAGTATAAACGTTTTATATGAAGTGTGAAAATGGGATTACGTGTATATTGATATAAACGTATAAATAAATAGTAAGAAATAGCGTAAGTAGAGTACACCAGAATTTTAATTAGGAGGAGCCTAAGCAGCTATAGCGTGCCGTTGTGAAAAGCCCATTAGCTTTTTCTGCTTGATTGTGACTGAGCCGCTTTTGCTAACTATTTCCAGCCGTTGATTTCTTTCCAAAATCCTTACGTTTTGGTTCCATATTGGGAAATATAAAACTCAATAAACGCCTAAAAGGTCCTAGGTTCGAATCTGGAACATGGCATTTGGCAAACTTTACACGTCAATGTGAGTATGTGACCTCTCTCATCTCATGATTGGTCATTTGTTGCAATTTTGCATGTTTATGTCTATGATTCTCACTTGTGTTTCCTTTGAAAATCAATTTTTTTTAACCATACAGGACTTTTTTTTTGTCAACCAACCATACAGGACCTAATTTGCGCTTTTTCATATATTTGTGGAACCATGTATGAACTTGTATTCTTGTCCAGTGGGCCAGAATATTTTTGTATAATCTCCATGGCCTTGCTCTTTATTTTTGGCCCAGTAGAGATTCATATGCATCCACTTAGACTATAGCAGTAAGAAGTTATGAACCATGTGGGAGAGAAGTGAAGAGACAGAAAAACTAGATGATATGTCAAAATAAAAATGATTCAAGGAATTCTTAAATAAATAACTAAAAAAATAACATTATTCTCATAATTCAAGCAAACCACCTATATTCACTTTTAATCTTTAATCTCAAGCATAAAACAAACAGAGAAAACTTGCCTTCCTTTTAGAAACTCGAATGCTTAAAAAAAAAAAAAAAACTCGAATGCTTTATTTTTTAGACGCATAATGTTTTTCTTCTTCTTTATTTTTTTTTTTCGTCTGAATGATTCCATATGTTAATCAACAAGAAAGTCACAATACAAAAATGGAACAATTGCAATCAAACTACAAAACTCATTACACAGATGTAATGCATTTATCATTGTCAAACACCTTCTTTATTCATCGTGTTTGTTTCATGGCTTTATAATTCCATAAAAGGTAGATAAGTTAACATATGTTTCATATTTCAAAACAACAATATTGTATTTTGATTTTTCTTGTATAAAGAGGAGTAGTCGTTTGTATCATCTATCCTTTTGTAGCTTACTTTTCGAGTGAGAGTTTCACGATCCCGACCAACAACTTGTTGGAGTCATACATTATATATATATATAACCAATTAAATTGGTAATTAAGAATATAAGTTGAGGTTGTAATAGTCATACACAATGTTAAATAACATACTAAACCAACAAAACTATTCGATCTGGCACATAAATAAAGGCAAAAGGGTCAGCAAAAGATATAATAATTAAATCCCACACATGCCCACAGATCATTCAACATCATATATCCCATCAAGGCTTATATAAAAAGGAATCACAGGTCATTTATACTCTCGAACATGTTGGTCTTGATTCCTCTTTCTCTATAAATATAAACACCTGTTCACATCTTTCTCGATATGCATATCTACAATGTTCCATTCTTTTATTTTTGCCGAAATTCAAATGAAAATTTTTAAAGGCTTTTGGGTGGTTTTGTAGTGATGTGATCATAATGACAAGGAGAGGGGAATTATAGGAACACAAAAATGGAGAAATTCTTGAAGTTGGCACAATCATTTGCATTTGTTTGGGGATTCATCTTGCTGGCGGCTCTCGTGTGTTGCTGCATCAGCACTAAACCTAATCGCGAAAATGATGATGATGATACCGGTTGCGCCGCTTGCGACGGAGGGCATGCCGGATTTTAGTCGATGTTTCAATCATCTCCTGTTTCTTTTGCTTTTCTTCTTTGATCCTCTTGTAGATTTGTACAACACACATCCTCATGACTTATCTTTTTCTTTTTTTTTTTTTTTTTTTTTTTTTTTTGAATAAAATGTTAAATTATATTCAAGAAAAAAAATATACTTTTTACATCAGCATCTTTTTGAGATTTTTAGAAAGAAGTTACAGAACATAAAATTGAGAAACAGAGAAATTAAGAAAACAGAGTATTGCTCCTTAGGCTTGGGAGGCAAACCATGCTTGTAGAGCTTGGTCGTAACGCCTGTCTCCTGTTGATCGGATAACCGAGAGTTGGTTGCGAACATGCTGATCGATCCAACGGATTAGAGTTGCTGCCAGTCGTGGTACTTCTCCATGACGTCTTGCGTTTCGTTCCCGCCAAATAGTGTGAATCGTAATTTGGAAGATGTTTCTCGCCAAGTAACTGTGAACCCGATTATGGTTTGTCACCACAATGTAATCCACGATCTGTTGCCAATCCGCTGTGAAGTGAGTTTTGAAGATTTGTTGAGCTAAAGCCTTCCAAATTTCATAGCTATATGGACAAGAGAAGAAGAGATGGTCTCTAGACTCTATGGGCGCAGCACAGAAAACGCATGAGACGGTGGAGCCATTGTTCCAGCGTTGCATACGGTCCCCCGTAGATAGACGATCGTGCAAAGCTAACCATGTGCAACAGGAGAATTTCGGATTCGCATGTGTGAACCACACTCCTTTCTGCCATGCCACCTGATTTGAACTTGTCCTGATATGATTCCAAGTATCTTTGGTCGAAAAGCTAGCTTTGAAAACATCTCCTTTACCCCTCCATAGCACCGTATCAGCCCTTGTCATATTACGCCCCTGATACGTCTTCGCCAATGCCTCCTCTATGTCGTTTAGTAACTGTGTTCGATGGCGTCTCCGACGACGGTGTCCCCAAGCTTCTCCTACCGTCATAATTATCTTTTTCATAATTACACAAAGCATTTTTTGTAAGGATTTTGTTCTCTCTTTTAATATACATAGACCAAGTTTATTTTTCTTCACGTTTGCATTTGATGTTCTAGTGATTACGATATTCCGATATTGTAATAAGAACAGGCATTTAGCAAAAAAAAAAAAGAACAGGCAAACGCATAATCAGTTTGTCGTAATAAGTCGAAAATTTTGCTATACAATCTTTATTGTCATAGTGGAAGTGGATATAAATATACAAGTCAATACGGTTGTTGATCTAACGCACAAGAAACATGTAATGCGGTTGCTTCAACTAAAATTTTAAATGTTGAACTAATTGTAACTATATCTTTTTGAATGTTGTTGACAAGAAGAAAGTAATTTTCTATAAATTGAATGAAAATGTTAAATATTAAGAAATTTCGGTTTATTCAGTTTGGTTGCATAAAATTTGGATTTGGGTTTAGATATTTTGGTATAAAAATTTATAACTTAGTGAAAAAAGACAAACTGAGAAAAAAAAAAGAAGAGTGGCAACGAAACCGAGAGAGAGAAGTCGTAGACCATACAAATTACACACAAACTATATCTCTCCACTCCAATCATCTCCTTCATTCTCTGCGTCAATGGCTTCCTTCAATTCATTCCCCATTCATAAACAGGTTTGTTGTCTCTTACATGTACATATCAATCGTATACACACGCGCCCGTCCACTCTCGAGCTGATTTCTGTTTGTGTTATTTTGGATTTCGGATTATAGATTGTTGGTTCTTCTTCTTCTTCGTCGTCTTCGTCTACTTCTCGGCCACGTATCTTGGTGCGATCGAGTATAACATCGTCCAATAGTATGCTGGTAATCCCGATGATGTTCTCTTCTTCTTCTCTTTCCTTGGAATTCTCTCTGGAATACGATTTGAATTAGTTTGAATTTTCCTTTGGATCAGGTCTTTGTACCTCCACATCCTTTGATTAAACATTGGCTCTCTTTATTGAGATGTGACCAAACTTCTTTCCCCATTTTCGGTGAGTAAGATTATGATTACGGTCGCTCTTATGATCGAATTTGCAACGTCTCTCTGTGCTTATTGTTGTGTGCTTGCCATTCTTATTGTATGTTTGAGAATTTAATCCCAATTCTTGGGTTAACCAACTAATTGATCAAAATTTGACGTTTTTGCTACTTGTTGGATTAGTACATCTGAAAATTTTGAATTGGCTGACTTCTCTATTACTTGATGCTTCAGTTAGAATTCCGGTGAATTCTTTAGTTGCAACGAGGTGGTCGTTTGTATCCTCAGTCAAAGAGGAAAGCAGAATGTATCAGAAAGATTCTCTAAAGGCATGTGGCTGCGCATCTGCAACTGCTTACACTACAGAAAATAATGTATATGTTGAGCTCAAAGATTCCAAGGTGGTGTATTGAAGTTCACTATATATGGACACTATTTTCCACGCCTTTTCCTTCGTTTTGATCTTTGCCATGTATTTATTTTTCAGGAAAATATTGGCGTGGCTTCTGCGGAAAGATCATATTCATCCTGTAGCATGTTGCAATACAATTTACTAGCCAAGAACCTTTTGGCACTAGAGGAAACTTTTGTTGCCTTGGATTCTTTAAGAATGGAAAGAGATATCATGTTGCAAATGGGGAAGCTGGGGGCTGCTGAGTTATTTAAAACCTGTCTATCTAGGTCTCGTGGTTCCTCAACCACTTCATGCTTATCTGACACAACCGAGTTGGTGGATACTACACCAAATCAGCAAGTCTTTGTATCTTCGAGAAGAAAATTGAAAACGAAAGCAAGAAGGTCGAGTGTTACAGCTGAGAATGCTGATCAGGATTCTTTGCCTATGGGTTTAAGAACCACATGGAATAATATTGATGTTCCTAGAGGGAGAAGGCCATCAAAATATAGAAAGAAGAGAGAGAGGGTCTCTAGAAACGAGGCTGAGATGTCAACAGGAGTCAAGGTTCACTGTGAAATCTTCCAGTAACTTTTTTTTTTCCTTTCCTTTGTTCACTTTTAGTTAACAAGAAATTCTTATGACACACTCATGTATCTTCTGAAGATAGTGGCGGACATGGAAAGAATCAGAACACAACTGGAGGAAGAAAGTGGTAAGGTAGCGAGTTTGAGTTGTTGGGCTGAAGCAGCTGGGATGAACGAAAAACTCCTAATGCGCAATCTACATTACGGTTGGTACTGTAGAGATGAACTGTTGAAAAGCACCCGGTCTTTGGTTCTCTTCCTTGCAAGAAATTACCGTGGACTGGGAATCGCCCACGAAGATTTAATTCAGGTTCATCTTCTCTCCTTCGAATTGTATTAAGAGTCCTACAAAAGTTATATCTTTTAGCTTAAGATTATGATTACAGAAGGAACAGATAGGAAACTTCTGGCTTGGTTTCATGATACTGCTTTGTACACAAATGATGAAACTTTGCAAGTGGAAAGAATTAAAATTGTCATTGCAGTTCTTTTTGTTCTAATGTTGTGACTTTTTCAGGCAGGGTATGTGGGGGTGTTACAAGGAGCAGAGAGGTTTGATCACACTAGGGGTTACAAGTTTTCAACATATGTGCAGTATTGGATAAGAAAATCAATGTCCATGATGGTGTCACGGCATGCAAGAGGCGTCCATATTCCTGTTTGTGCATTTTGATTTTTGACCCTTTTTGTCTCATTTTCTACAAAGCTAGAGAACCTCACTTGTTTTCCTTTATTGTTTCTGTTTTTTGGCAGTCATCAATAATCCGAACTATCAATCAGATACAAAAGGCTCGTAAGACCTTGAAAACGAGCCACGGGATAAAATATCCGGCGGATGAGGAGATTTCGAAACTAACAAGCCTCTCTGTGAAGAAGATTCGAGCAGCTAACCAATGCCTAAAAGTGGTTGGTTCAATCGAAAAGAAAGTCGGGGATTGCTTTTCTACAAAATTCCTGGTATGTTGTTTTGGACCAAATGGTGCAGAAGCTATGGTTTTTTTTAGCAATTCATCTAGGGGGTGAGGATTCAGTTTTTCTGTTTAGTTTGGTTCAATCTTTGGTTTTGAGAAATGTCTATCGAACAAGGACCAAGATTTGTTGTTCGTTTAGTTTGGTTACACTAAATTCGGTTTTTTGATATGAAAATACTGTTACCATCAGGTTTATCATAAAGATTGGCTCAGTTGGTTCGGTTTTGAGACTCAACGCTTGTTTTTCGCGCATGCAGGAATTTACACCGGACACGACGATGGAGAGTCCTGAGGAGGCCGTGATGAGGCAGAGCGCGAGGAGAGACATACATGATCTTTTAGAAGGGCTAGAGCCAAGAGAGAAGCAAGTGATGGTTCTACGTTATGGTCTTCAAAACTACAGGCCCAAGTCCCTGGAAGAGATTGGGAAGCTTCTTAGGGTTAGCAAAGAATGGATTCGGAAGATCGAACGGAGAGCAATGGCTAAACTCAGGGACCAACCCAACGCCGAAGACCTCAGATATTATTTGAATCAGTAAAGGATAGAGATTTTGGAACCAATGAATTTTTATGTCTTCTGTCACAGTGTGATTGTGTAGTCTTGTGTGTTTATAATAGTAACGTTGGAGATCCCTCGAGTTTAAAAACTCTTGTATATGTGGTGTAAACTTATATTATAGTGAAAATAGATATTTTACAAGTTATGAAATCCTAAACACTTGCATAAGCTACATCCTTAGATTACTCTCGATCATAATAGTGTTGTATCATGTATGCATGTACTAGATTAGATTAGGACCCATGTAATACACGGTTTAATTAGATTAGGACCCATGTATTACACGGTTTAATCGTTAAATGTATTTTAAGAATTTAGTAAGTTTTCTTGCATTTGTGCAAATTATATTGAATTTCAATTGAACCAACTATAAATTTTATTATATATTTGGGTTTGGAACCTCAATTTTATATAAATTTCATAACTACATATAGTAATTTATGTAGAGATGTGTTTCACTATAATTTGTTCTTGTTTAAAAAAAATCAAAGGATAGATATATTAAAGTTACAAAACAGAAAAATATTAAAACATGTATTAAAATCTAATCAATTAAAGAAAATGTGTCGCGATTTTGTGAATTACAGTTTTGCAACATGTCAAGTTCTTGTTGAAAATGTCCAAACTTTATATATTAAGATTAAAAGAAAAATTTCCTTTTTCAGTAGGATAAAGAATTTTTTACTTCTTTTTTCAATATATGAACAAAAAGAGTTTAATAAAAATATGGTTAATTGTTTAATATATTAAGATTATTTTTGTAGGATAAAGATCTTTTTCTGAATAAATAAAAATATACCTTTTTACCTGTTTATATATATATATATATATATATATATATATAAGAAAATAAAAGAACACACATATTTAAGTTACAAAACTGAAATATTACAACATGTCTTAAAATCAAATCAATCAATGGAAATTTGTCGCAATTTCGTGAATTACAGTTTTGCATTTTTCACTTTTTTTAGTATATTAACAAAAAGAATTTCAATAGAATTAAGGTTAATAGTTTGATATATTAAGATTTTTTTATAAGATAAGAAATATTTACTTCTTTTTTTAATATATAATAGATGGATTGACAAATTTTCTCTTTTGGAAAGAAATTGCTAACAAATTAATATAAAGCCCAATGGGCCGTATAATAAGTAGACCCAAAGTTATTCGGTACAGTAGTGACAACCGGTTAATATTCGCCCGCCCTATCGTCTTTGCAAAATTGTCGAACCAGATTCGGACATCGTCGAAAATGGAGTGCTCAATTGGTAACACTTTCAGGTGTTCTTCTGATACGCTGCGTTTTGGTCCCCGACAACAATGCAGCCGACTAAACCCTAATCCTTCCTCTTTCCTCTCCTTTAATTCCTCCCCAATTCTCGCACAGGTATCGAGTATATATACATATATTCTATGTCCAAAGCACACTTTTCGAGTAACGCTTTTGCATATTCAAACTAAATTTTGGTTTTCGAAATTTCGGATTTTTTATAGAATTTGGGTGCTTCTTCTTTGTCTGTTTGCCGGCGGACTATTCGAGCTAAAGCAAAAATGGCGGCGTCAGAGGGTTCGATTAACGGAAGCAATAGGATGCTGGTAAAAACGATTTCAAATTTTTGATTTTTTGGTGTTTTTTCTGTTGATTTGAAAGTGAAAGATGTGAATTTGATTATGGTTTCAGGTGTTTGTGCCACCACATCCTTTGATCAAACACTGGATCTCTGTTCTCAGAAATGACCAAACTCCTTGTCCTATTTTCAGTGAGTGGATAAGATTTTTATGAGTATTTCTGCGATATTAATCACTGTTTTGTTATTAAAGAACTGAATTTTACATCCATTTCTTGGTTTTTTTGGATCCTGATTACTATATGTAGTGGACAATCTTTAACTCTTAGAATGGTGTTATCTGCAAAATTGCGTTTGAAAAATGAGATTTTTAGGACATGTTTTTTTTTCAGTTTGCTACTATACTATAAGTCTGTGTGGGTCTTTAAATCTTGAGGTTTTTTAATGATCTTAGGGAATGCAATAGCGGAACTAGGGAGACTACTCATGTATGAAGCAGCACGAGAGTGGCTGGTGAGTGACGACGGGTAGACACATCTCTATTATTCTTGAATTCATTCTCTACGGTTTTGGCTTATGTTTTGATTTTTGTATATTTGGGATCAAGCCAACTGTTGTGGGAGAAATAATGTCTCCAATGGGTCCTGCTTCTGTTGAATTCATTGATCCTAGAGAGCCTATAGCGGTTTGTTTATCCTCAAAACTCTTCTTGTCTATATTTTCTTCTCGACCTAGCATGTAAACATTTCTTATTCTTGGTTTTGTCTCTGTGTAGGTTGTTCCGATATTAAGAGCTGGTCTTGCTCTTGCGGAACACGCATCCTCAGTTTTGCCTGCGAATAAAATTTACCATTTAGGTTAGTAATCTGACGATCTATCATCTCTTGCCTGAACTTAGGATGTCAAAAATGAAGACTTTTATCAAATAGCTTATGATGTCCCCGTGCTTATTTTCTTTACCAGGAGTAAGTAGGGATGAGAAAACACTTTTGCCGTCGGTGTATCTTAACAAGTAAGAACTTCTCTGCAGTATTGTGTAGTTACTGAAGTGTTTACAATAACAGCTTTGATACATCTTCTTTAGGTTGCCTGATGAATTTCCCAAGAATTCAAGAGTATTTTTGGTTGACCCAGTGCTTGCCACAGGTAAGGAAGTCTTATCAATTCTTGTGATGTAGCCAGTTTTCATCATTTTAGCCACCTCTAGTGTAATTAGGGTTTGATGTTAAAATGTACACGATAATATGGGAATGTGAATGCATGACATGGTAATACCGAATGTTTCATAGCTAGAAGCGTAGGTTTAGTAACTTGTTTTTTTCATAACTCAAAACACAGGTTTATTTGTATTTTAGGTGGTACCATAATGGCGGCGATGGATCTATTGAAGGAACGTGGTTTGTCTGTTCAGCAAATCAAAGTGGTAAGCATATATATAGGAAACAGCTTTTGTCAGAAATCTTGTCTACGGAATATCCTTAGTTAAGTGTTTTGATTTTTCCGGTATCTCCCTTATAACAGATTTGTGCGATTGCTGCACCTCCTGCACTATCGAAGCTTAATGAGAAATTCCCCGGGTAATCAATAGCAAAAGACCAACTCTCAGCTCGCTTGACATTTAGTTAACTCTTTTACTAAACTGTTTGGTTACTATCTGCAACATATCAGGCTTCATGTATATGCTGGAATTATTGATCCTGAAGTCAATGAAAAGGGGTAAGTCATTAGGTTCTTTGGCTATCGATATGAAAATGGCGATTATATTATAATGTCCTTATGTATTTGTCATGAAATAGGTACATAATCCCTGGGCTTGGTGACGCTGGAGACCGCAGTTTCGGGACAGAAACACATTGGGAGAAGTGATTCTTGTATGAGTTGTTGAACTTTACAGTCACAATCGTTAGATTATATTGTCTCTTACTTTGTTTTTGATGTGTGATGCCGGGTTATTGAGAGGGTTTCGATAAAAGAGTCAAAGTTCAAAAACAAGAAGAATCTGAATTCCTCATTATAAAAACAGAGAACAAATTTGTAAACACCATTTTTCTTCGGGAGTATCTCGCGATTTATGTGTATCATTCTCAACTATCTACAAAAGTAGTTTTTGAAAAAGAAAATCAAGTATCTGAACCAGTTCTAAGTAATTTTCAAATTGAATGAACAAAATACCCAAACTGAACCAGTCTTCTGTTTTGGTTTAGATCGTCAAACCAATTCGAATTGAGAACTTTCGTAGTTCGGTTCGATTTAAATTTGTAAACCGCTCTAATTGGATCGGGTTTTATCGCTCTTCATTTCAAAAGTTGAAGGGTATAGTAGTCATTCCCCGAAATAAGCAAACCCTAAGAGCTCGCTACTATAAATACAATAAACTGATTTTATTTTCCTCTTCTTCGTCGCCGCCAAACTGCTCTCTCAGATTCTTCTTCCTCGCAGGTGAGAATTTTTCTCCTTAGACTCGTATAATCTCCTTTCTCTGTATTGCTTATAAACGCATCAGAATAATCTAGGTTTCGATTTCAGAATTGGTATTCTCGTTTTGCCTTTTGTCTAGAGATTATCGTTGAATCTGGCCAATTATTCTTGATGAATCTCGTACTTTGGAGTTGTATTGCTCATCTGATTAGTTTTTTTTTGTTTGTTTAATTACTCAGATCGTTTTTTGTTCAAGCTAAATCTCAAAATGGAGAACGAAGAAGGGAAGATCACAGAGCTCTACATTCCGAGAAAATGGTATTACAGCTATTCCTTGTTGTCTGTGTAATGTTTGATTAGTATCTTAAGCTAATTGTCTTTAACTAAGTAGTGTAAGCTGATTCTTTTGTTGTGTAATGGTAATTGGTTCAGCTCGGCAACAAACAGATTGATCACATCAAAGGATCATGCTTCAGTTCAGCTTAACATTGGTCATCTTGATGCTAATGGTGTCTACACCGGCCAATTCACTACCTTTGCTCTCTGCGGATTTGTCCGTGCTCAGGTTTGTGAATTTCATCTCCACAATTGTTAATAACAAAGTTCATGATTGTATATGTATATTGACATTTGATTGAATCTGCAGGGAGACGCAGACAGTGGCGTGGACAGGCTCTGGCAGAAGAAGAAGGTCGAAGCCAAACAACAGTGAGAGACAATGTCATAAGCTCTACCACCTCTTTTGATGTTTCGTTTTATTAGCAATGTGGTTTCGTTATTGAATTGAATATGTTTCTTTACATGCGAATTCATGTTTTGGATTTTTCTGCTTTATGAAAGATTATTATTAGTCTTTGTGATTCCAATGGAATTAGATTTCTATCTAATAGTCTATTTATTTTAAGTTTCACAAATTACTGTTAGATTGTCATCAACCACACGGCTTAATGGTTTAATGGTTTAGCTTAAGAAACTGTTAACATGTACGCAAATTCTTCGTATTATTGAAAATTGAAACGTATTACACTTATTTCCCTCGATCAAGCAAAGTGGAACATAGTTTTTTCCATATTCAAACGAAAATGGGTAGACTTTAGAATTCAACAAAAGACTCTTATGATTCATATCTCACCATCCCAAAGCTCTTCAAGTGTCTTATAAGGACTCAACGTCTCATGAACAAACGATGTGCCTTGGACTAACCTAACCTGCACAGTGGAGAGATTGAAATAAATGATGTTTTAGACTCCTCATAGATTCCAAATTTGCAGAATGTGGTTTATGGTTTTACATGCCTGTTCTATCTTGGAAAACTTGTCAAACATTTCTTCTGGGATTGACCATCCCAATACATCGAAATTCTCTCTGATTCTCTTTTCATTTGTGCTCTTGGGAAGTATACTATGGCCCATTTGAAGTCCCCATCGAAGGGCGGTTTGTGCGGGGGACTTCCCGAGTTCTTTTGCAACCATTTCAATAACCGGACTCTTTAAAACATCGGCCTTCACCCACGTTGTTCCAGGAGAACCCAATGGCGAATATCCCTACCACAATCAAAATTCACAAGTGTGTATAAACATGAAATTCTGATTCCTGTTATGATTGGGACATGTTTAGTGTTTTTCAAACTTACTGACAGGTGTATCCCTTTGGACTTGCAGAACTCATGTAGCTTATGTTGTTGCCATGAAGGATGACATTCCACCTGGTTTACAGCGGGAGGAACACGAGCAGTATCCACAAGATCTGAGAGTTTCTTTGTAGAGAAATTACTTACGCCAATGGCTCGTGTCTTGCCAGAATCATACAGTGCTTCCATTGCTTTCCATGTGCTAGGAATATCGATAGGCATAATGTTCTCAGGCTTAAAGTCAACAGCGCCTTTCTTCAACCGAACAGGCCAGTGCATCTTAAGAAAAGATCAAATGAAACCAATTGAAGTATAAGCAAGCATAATTAGATTCCCAAATCCAGAGATCCAAATGAAACAAAGGAACACATCTTGAGAACTGTTAGAATAAAAAAAGTAGCAGTTGTTTAGAAAGAGGCATGCTTACGAGATACAAATCGACGTAATCAAGCTGCAGATCCTGTAGAGTTCTATTCAATGCCTCTTGCACATCTGGAGGATCAAGATCAGTCAACCTGTAATGGCATAATTTGTAGGTTATAAAAGTTAAGAGGCTGAGCAGACACTAGGTGAACTGAAAATGCGTAAGAAATATAAAGATAACAGAAACGTTATGAACAAAATACCAGATTTTTGATGTGATGAACAGCTTCTCACGCTTCACTACGCCATCATCAAACAACTTCTTCAGAACTTTCCCAATCTGCAGGTTAAAAAAAGTTTTCAATCTCTTCATGAAAGAAAAACAAAAAACAACATTTCAAATGAACTTGTAAACAGTTTATAACATATAACTCCATCAACCCTACATAATTTAAAGCCAGTTTAAGAAAAAGATACACAAGACAATGTGTGCCATTGAATGCATCATACTATATACTATTCTACCAATGCATATCAAGTCACGAGCCGCCAGAAGATGAACTATGTTAACAACAACAAAGGAATAATACAAAATGTGTACAAACATGAGTGATAACAAGATTCAGATCCCGTGTAACTCAGGTAGTGAAGATTCAAATGGAACCTAAAACGCCATTACAGCTTAACTTCGCCAGAGATGCAAGGTTTAGAGCTTTAGAGGCATACTATGGAAGATACAGAATTCAGATCGGTGATTTTTACCTCAATTTCATTGCCATATCTTGAAGCACAATCAATATGCTGATATCCAATCTGCAGAGTGAAATGATAAAAATCAATCCCTAAATTCCAAATCAATCACAATTCACAAGATCAACCAACACTAGGGGAAAAGCAAAATTATGTAAAGATCTGATCATCTAACCCAAGACCTCTAAGGATCAGTCAAATGAGAAACCATGAGACGGAAAATCACAGACGAACCTTCACAGCGGTGGCGACAGCGTCTCCAACGACGCCAGGAGCAGCTTGCCATGTTCCGAGACCGACGGATGGAATCTTTGCTCCGGTGTTGAGTTGGAAGAATCCGATTTCGTCCGCCATTGTCAGAGCTTTATGAGTTCGACTTAGATCTGGTGAACCTTTTACGAAATGGCGGAGGAAGAACCGAAGAAGTGTCGACGGAGCGGGAAAATCGTCGGAGTTTTATAACAACAGACGGCTAGATTTCAAACACGTGGATAAATCGAAACGCCAATGCTTGTATTTTCATTTTTCAGTGTTGAGAGTAACTACGAATTTACGATTTACATCATTCAATAGATTTATCAAACTTTAGACAAAATTATCATGTAGTATTTTGAATAAATTCGTTTGAATTTGCAAAAGAGAGTATGATTTATGAAACTAAAAAGGGCTATTTCAACATTGGAAACTTGAGATAATTTTCGAATAAGAACAGAGGAAACGTGTCTGATTCGAAGATACGAGAAGCTATAATCTGTCAAAAGAGGAAGAACAGTTGAAAACAAAATCACATCGACTAGTACAAGGATTTTTCTAGGCGACTGGGATCATCGCTGGGTAATCTACGGCTGTAAGTGGAGCTTCCGCTAAGAGAGCAGCCGGGGCAGCAACCTGAGCAGGTGCCACGTAAGTCTCTTCTTCCTTAGGAGAATGAATGATCACAACATCAGGCAATGGTGTCATTGGTCCTGATTTGCCCTTAGGATCCCAATCAAGCATAATCTTAACCTTGATTCCCAACACACCCTACACATTCGATATAACAAGACTTAGCTTAGTCATTGTTGATTTACTAACTAGTAATAAGAAACAACTCAGAAGAAAAATTCACCTGTCTAAGCAAAACATGTCTCACTGCAGAGTCAATGTATTCCTTAGTTGGTTGACCAGATGACACCATGTAACCATCCATGAACTTCATAGACTTGGCTCTTGCTGCACGGAGCTTTCCACTCACAATGACCTCGCATCCCTTAGCTCCACTCTCCATAACAAACCTCAATACGCCATAGCAAGCCCTGTACAACATTAAATCATTGCATGAGAACTACACTTAGGACCTAGACAGACCTAGTTGAAACCCTAAGTATGAACAACAGCGTTTCCAGTAGATAAAGAGACATTACAATTCCCCAATACCATAAAGAGTGTGCCAGTGACTATCTGAACAATTACTCTATACTAAACATATAACTATTAGATCAAATATACTAAACATATAACTATTAGATCAAACAAACAAGAGAAATGTCTTACCTACGAACAGCTAGACCACCGAGAAGCTTGTATCGTAGAGATTCAGCTTGAGCAATGGCACAGAGACCTCTGTTGTTGACCTTCTCGGCATAAAGCTCAACACTGTCTACAGGAAATTTGAATCTCTTCTGGACAAGGGATGTCAATTCCCTAATTCTCCTTCCCTTCTCACCTGAAGACACAAATCAAATTTTACAGACCCAGAATCGTATAATAGAAGAAATGATTGGGCTCGAAGATCAACAACATACCGAGAACATTCTGAGTACGTGTAGCTCTGATGATAATCTCAGTCCTCATTGGAGTAACCCTAACCTCCACACCAGAGTAACCATCCTCTGCTAGCTCTCTAGTGAGAACCTCATTCAATTCAGCGTAGAACACACCGTCTGCTACAAACTACAAAATCAAAATCTCAATACAGTTACCAAAAAAGTTCCAATACGATGCAGCGAGAAAGAACAAAATGAACAAATCACACAATTCACCTTTCTCTTCTTGCTGATCTGAGTCGTCATGTTTGTGAATGTGAAAATTTGCCGATCTCTGAAACCCTAAAAATGCGCGGCGTAATCTCGAGAGGGATGATATTAGTATTTATATTTGACCTAATTCAGAAAATCAGGTTTCACATCCAATTTCCTTTGGGCCTATTTGTTGAATAATTTGGCCCATAGATTAATAAATAGTTAATCATTGATTTGGGCCAATGGATGTTTTCAAATGTTAATTGTTAATTTTTTTTTTTAATCAAGTAATTGAAAAAATAAAACATCACTGATTTTGAAACTTCTCTGTCATTTTCCGGCTACAATGGCGTCAGCTTCCAAGAACATTGAGCAAAACCCTTTCTCATTAAAACCCCCAAGATCTCTGTCTTCCTCCGGCGCTATATCTTCCACCGCCGTGGCTTCCACTTCAGTAGAACCCCAAATTCGGAACCCTAACCCTAGCACAAACGTCTTACCATCGACCAAGAATTCACCGATTACGATGTCACAAGAAGATGAAATTCTCGCACGCTCTAGTCACCTCACATGCCCAGAGCTTCTCCGACGCCGAGCATACAACCTTAAGCAGCTCGCCAAGTGCTATAAAAACCATTATTGGGCTTTAATGGAGGATCTCAAGACGCAACACAGGGATTATTGGTGCAAGTATGGGGTTAGTCAGTTCAAAGACCAACAGAATCAATCGATTAAGAGACGGAGGCTTGGTCGAGAAGGAGAAATCGCCGCCGTTGAAGGTAGTGGAGATAAGGCTAATGATGGTGGTAATGGTGATCTGTATGCAAATAACAATGGGAGCTGTATGTATGGATGCAATGCTAAAGCTATGGCGCTTACGAAATACTGTCAACTGCATATTCTCAAGGATAGTAAGCAGAAGCTCTACACTGGTTGCACAAACGTCATCAACAGGTGCTTCAAGTTGTGTTCTTTTACATACTATAGTTGGGTTAAGATGTTGTAGTGATGATGAATTGAAACTGCAAAGCAATGTTGTGTTATTCAATGAGCCAAGAAATAGTTTCTTTCTTTTTTTGAGGTTGCTGAAAGGTTTTGAGATTGAGACTTTGCTCTGTTTCAAGGTTTTCCATTTGGGATTGGGAGAAAATTTTAGCTTTAGACACCGATGATCACTATCCTCGGTAACCATTTATAGATTCGGAACTTGGCTTGATTCATAACCTTGATTGACTTGCTGCGTTATTCCCGTTGATATACCTGTCTCTATTGACGTATCTTTGCAAACGAGGTAGGATTATGAGTATTATTAGCATAATTATATCATCTTTAAAACTTAGTTCCAACTGAACATTGGGATGAGACTCTTTGAAAATGTAAGTGAGTTGGGATAAAACTTTAACCAGGTTCAGATTGATACACTGGATTCGGTTTGTTACAATCCAGATTTCATATATATGTAATTCTGCATGCTGGTTTGTAATTAGCACATGATGATTATTTAAGCGGTTCTCTCCTAACTCTGCATTTGTTTGCAATTGCATTGTACATTCAGATCTCCAGCAGGACCATTACTTTGTGGAAAACCTACACTTGCATCGACTGTTCCTGTACTGTGTAATGTGCACTTCCAGAAAGCACAAAGGAATGTTGCCAAAGCTTTAAAAGATGCTGGTCACAATGTCTCTTCAACAAGGAAGCCTCCCCCAAAGCTCCATGTTTTAGTAGCTGCATTTGTGCATCACATTCAAGCCCAAAGAAAAAATCCACACAAGGAGGGTAAACTTAAAAGCGTAGTAAAAGAAGAAATTACAAGCTGAGTCAAGCCGCGTTCCCAGAAGTAATTAATTGGATCAAGTCTTACAGAAGTGAAAAGGTGAGGACCTTGGCTTACTATATCTTCTACAGATTCTTCTCCTTCAGTTCTTGCGAGTAGATTTGACTAGCGACGGATTTTGTGACAGTGTTGGTATCGGATCTTTTATCAGCACTGAGCTATTAAGAACAGGTTTTTGTACAGTGTAGTGTATAGTCTTAGAGCTTAAGACTTGATAGTTATTGAGATGAAGATTCCACTGTTTCTAAAGACTTGATAAAGACTTGATAAAGACCTGAGTTGGAACTCAATTTAACTCTGTTTTGTTGCAATTTTGATCAATTTATCGAGTTACTTCGAAAACTTATGCAATGGTCTAATGGCCAATTAGAGACAGGCAAAAAGCCATTTCCATTAATTGTATTATTCGAAATTCTGGGTTGCCAAATACCCCATTGTGACTTAATATAACAATAGTTTTAAATAATACTATACACATTTTCAGAATTCAAAAATATACTCAGATATTACTTTAAGGAACAAATAATATTGCAAAAAAAAATTCTCACATTCCATATTTTAAGGCGAAAATATTTATTTGTCCTGCCACGTAGGACGCTTATCTCACTTATCTCAGTCCACTAAAAGCAAGCAAGAAAAAAATGTCAAAGGAGAAAGAAGGAAGAAGCTTAGCTTATAATCGAATCTAAGCCGTTTCGGGAAATTCTGTTTGTAGGTGACAAAATCTTCTTCTAGGTTCCTTCTTAGCTATGAATCTCCTCTGCATTTTCTTTTTTTCCCCGCCAAAATTTCTCCTGAAGCAAATGTAGCTTTTACTTGCTAAACTAGGGTTTTGTTCGATTTTGTTCCTCTTTCCTCGCTGATTTTGTCGGAATTTCTGGGTTTGGGAAGAGAAATTGCCAAATTGGAGCCGTTGTTTATTGAAATGAAGAAGCTTTTCGGAGGTCCGGGAACTGTGTGTGGTCTGTTACTGAGAATCGGACAATGTGCTTCAGCTGCGGCTTCTATAGGCGTTATGGTCTCTGCCAAGGAGTTCTCTGTTCACACTGCTTTTTGGTACGATTTCGCTTTCTTCAAGTGTTGGGTTGTTTCCTTAAACCTTGTTTTGTTCGCTTAGATGTCGGATTTGGCGGATTTAGTAGAAATGGTAATGGAAATTTCTGCAAGCAATTTTGGTGTATATGTGGAAGTCTCGTTGATGTTGTTTTTGATTTTGGGTTTGGTTTCAGCTACTTGATTGCATCAATGGGTCTTCAATTGTTGTGGAGCTTTGGGCTAGCTTGTCTTGATGTTTATGCTCTCAGGGGCAAGAAAGATCTCCAAAACCCTATCTTGGTTAGCTTATTCGTCGTTGGTGATTGGGTATGAACAACCTTGTTATGGTCATTTTTATTCTGATTCAATGTTCTTGATATGGATTTTTTTTTGAAGGATTGAGTTGTTTTTCTTGATTTTCAGGTGACTGCAATGTTATCTCTTGCAGCTGCATGTTCATCAGCAGGAGTTGTTGTCTTGTATGAAAAAGATATCAAGTATTGCAATACTCAAAGCCAATATCCATGTCTTAGGTATGAAGTAGCAGTAGCGCTTTCGTTCGTCACTTGGATCCAGATCGCTGTTTCTTCTCATGTCACATTTTGGATCTTAGCCTCGGTTTAGTTTTGAAAAGAAACCCAACTTTTTCTTCTTCTTGGAATCTTGAGACATCTTTGTAGCTTTGAGGACATAAACAATCTGCTTCAAGTCGAATCCACCAATGTTTCTTGAAATCAAAGCTATTGCTAAATATAAACATTTCTCTCTTATTCACCACACCTTACTTAGAAGACTAATCAACATGTTATATATGCATTGAGCACGAGGAAAACAAAGTTACTACTTTGGTCTGAATGATTGATGCTTAGTCGTTGAGTCAATGCTGTTTTTACACCCAATCTAAAGAAACCTAAAGTTTTTTTCGTAACAAACCGTTTTATTCTTTGTTCCGCAATTTCCCCACGTTACACAATACAAACTACAAAGTCAAAGCTCTCTCCCTAAGAAAAAACATGAAGACGGGGAAAGATTGAAGAAGAAAATACATACACAGCAAAAAGCCTGTCTGTATGTACAGCGTCAAACCTAGAGGCAATCTCTTTCGTAAGGCTAAAAAAAACCCAGAAATGTCTATCGAGGATTTGGTGATTGGTTGGGAAAACTCAAGTGGGTGAATCTGCTAGTAGTAATGTATGCCACCATCCACACGCCACTTTTCTCAGTCTGCAGCCATCGAGCTGGACTTGTGTAGGAATGCTCCGGTCATTCGTGTCCCCTAAACCCAGCTGTTGAATAACAAGAGGGATACAAAAATGAAATGCTATTTGTACAAATACAGTGATAATGAGACATAACTTCTTAGCAAACCAAAACAGGAACAACATTGTACCTGTCCATATTTGTTCCATCCCCAGCATAGCAACTGACCATCTTCTGTAGAAACAAAAATTGCAGTGTTAATCAGCAAAACAGATAATACATTCTGTACCGCCTTCACTGATTACAATGAACTAAACTTAAAAGGAGCATCAACATCAGGCACATAACATAGAAGTTAGAACGCAAAGTGTTTCACGAACATGTAGCGAGTTTTAAGGAGCTAATTTTTTCTCCCTTGAAAGAGAGACCACGTATTAAACTGAAAACAATGCAAAAGGAGACCTGAAGACAGGTTGCAGCATCTCACAAGCTAGGGCTCTTTAGTTTCTTCTCGTTAAAACAACTGAAAACAAATGCTAGGGCTCAGTTCGATTTGGGGAGGTCCCTTTCTGCCATCAACATTTGTAATAACATACCTGCCAAAACAGCGCTATGCCGCGCGCCACAACTAACTGCTTTCGCATATTTGCCCTCCAAATTCTGGCCATCTAGCAACCTCGGTAATATCTAAATCAGAAGAGGGAAGATAAAATACTTGAGAATACCAGATGTTTCGAGTCATGAATGGCACAAAAGGTCCAGAAATTTTTTATTATGAGAGATGTTACCTCAGCATGATCAGTGCCAGTTCCCAGTTGCCCAAATTGGTTTCCACCAAAGGCATACACTTTACCATCACTAGAGATGCAAAGAGTGTGCCACAATCCAGCTGCTACGCTTTCCATCCGAACACTCTTCACTGATGACACAGCCATGGGCCTTAACTGGTCATTTGTGTTTCCGTGGCCACACTAAATGCCAAGAAAATTGGCGGGTTAGCATGAGCACATAGAGAGGCTAAACAGAATGCACTTTCGCAGTCAGTCGGATAATCAGTCAAAGATTGCTAAGCTGTAAAACATTCACCTGTCCATAGAGTCCCCAGCCAAAAGTTATTAACCCTCCAGCATCTGTAACTAGGAAGGACGTGCAATCAATATCAAACCATTACAAATTTTTCTACATTTTAGAACTACATATACTGCAACGTAACCTTTTTTCTTTCATGGAAAGCCAATTGATCAGTGTACAGAGGAATAAGTCAGAAGAGAAATAGACCTGTAATTGCCGCGCTATGACGACCTCCACAAGAAATGGCCTTGATGAACCGACCAGGTTCTCTTGAAACTTGAGTAGACGTGGTTGTTGTTCCTCCTTGATGTAATATGAAAGATCTTTCTTTTCCGGATCCAATTGATTCAAGGCAAGGTATTAAATGAGGAGACGACACCATTTTAATCCGGGAACCCAATCCTAGTTGACCTTCGCCTCCATATCCCCAACCCCAAATCTGTCCTATATCTGAAACTTCCGCAAAAACATGATCATCCTCAAATGAATCTTCAACTACAAGGTAGCAGCTTCATCTCGGATTTGTAAAGAAGTCGTTTATTCAACTTCACCTGACAATGCCAGAGTATGCCGACCACCAGTAGCAACACTGGTGATCCTCACTCCAAGGCCAACACTCACAAGTGAAGGTGTTGTAGCAAAGAAGTCGCCTCCAGATGTATGGCCTTCGGTTTCATCTTTGGCAGTTGAAACCCGTCTCCGCTTGACTGATACCTCCCCCACCTTTCGGTTCTCATTCGGTAGTGTCATACCACTAGCTGCATTTGATCCTTGTGATGGTTGACTCACTATCAAAATTAAAATCATACCATATCCATCAACAGTAACCAAACTAACAGCACTAAAACCAAAGATATCCCAACCGATCTCACCTTGCTCACTTGAGCCACTCTGCTGCTTTCCAACAGGATCCTTTGATGGAATGCACTCCTTCCAACCCCACGTAAATGCTTCACCAGCCTCTGTACACACCAACACAAAGGTCATGAACAAAAAGGACAGTTACAAGTATCATTACTCCATTTCATGTTTCAAGTCATAGACCAGTGTAATGTAATAGAAGTCAAAGTAGAGAAGTAACACTTACCTGTTACAACAGCACAATGTGCCCATCCTGCAGAAGCCTGAACGACTGGAGCCTCCGTGGGAAGAGGAAACAGCTCTGGAGTTTCCTTCACCAATCGTATCCCAGGAAAGACAATAAATCGAATCAATATCGTAACAAAAAAGGATAGAAGAAGAGACAAAATTCCATCATCTTAAAGAACTTTACCCCATGCTTTCCAGAAGCCACATAGCTCTGTCCTTCATCATCAGTAGATCCCCAAGTTATAAGCTTCCCCTTCTCTAAAACCCACCAACATACAAAAATCAGTAAATCCCAAAAAAAAAAAAACACAACTTTTTGTAAATCCAACAACCCCAAAGTTATAATATTTTGTTGGTCACGAATAAGTTTCGAAATTGATCAAATTCACAAAATCCAACCTGAAATAGCCATAGCGAATCCACAACCGCCGCCACATACATCTTTCCACGAATCTCCCCCGTGGACAGCCGCCGGTAAACGCACAGGAACAGGAGAGAGAATTGGGGATTTCTCCGGCGCAGCTCCTGGTAAGTAACCGGACATGTATACAGTCGCCTTACATTCCCCAATCGGAACCTTTCCTCCGATGTTTCCATTCATGGCAATGACTCTTCCAAATCCAAAATCACCATAAAACGCACGCACACAAATCTAAATCTGCGTTTCACTTGCACGGCAAATTCGCGTTTTTCAGATGAGTCTTGAAACGGAGAGAAACAAAAGAGAACGAGTTGACTCACTGAGAGAGAGAATCAATTACGGGGATTTAGGTTGTGCCACCTCGGATGCCACGTCATCTTAATAACACGTGGCATGATCTAGACCGCGTTTTATTTTTTATTTTGTGGAGAAGTTTCTGGAAGCAAAAGACCAACCTCAAATTTGAAGCTCACTGATGGACGCGTGGTTCTTAAAATTCGTTTATTTTAATTCTTTGCGCTATCAGCTTTCAATTATTAACTAATCTAATTACTTTTTTTTTTTCTTTTCTCTTTTGCTTAATCATCGATTCGGTATGTAGTTTACATGTTACAGAGACTGACTAATGTCTACTTTTCTCTTTATCTACTTTATTCAGCAAGTTAAACATTGGTTAAGTTGCTGGTTTAATTTGGTTTGAAGTTATGTTTTAACTAAACCGGCATTGTTGAATTTAAGAAGTATAGTATATAGAAGAAACGAGACTTGAAAATAAATAAGCATAAGTATTAATTAAGTTAGACCAACATTTGCCGCTAGAGAAGTAGAACGAACAAACCATTCACATACAAAATGCCTTAGAGAAGAACACCATGGGCCATATACTCTTCTTCTTCTTCTTCTTCTTCTTCTTCTTCTTCTTCTTCTTCTTCTCCTTCTTCTTCTTCTTCTTCACACCTTCAGTTTCTTGCACTCTCGCTACAATGTTTTAGATTTCATTAAGAAAACCTAGAATTCTAAAGATTAGAAATCTCAAAGTTTTCAGATATCAAAACTTGCCTTTGGTTGCTTCCTCACCATGGTAGTAGAATTCCCCGGGTGAGAATCAAGGGGAGGAGCCAGTTCAGCTTCAATCTCCTCCCCGCTTGTTCCTGCAGCCATGTGTTTGATGCCCAGCAACCATAGGAGAGGGCCACACATTACCAACATTCATAGGAGTGGGCCACACATGACCAACATTCATAGGAGTGGGCCACATATGACCAACATTCCTAGGAGGGAAGCAGTTCCACATCTGCTTGAAAACCAAATGGAAAATAGGTAACATGAGGGTCAAATTTAGGCAGGCAAACAAAACGAAAATTGAGAGATATTAAAACAGGCCTTTGGTTGCTTCCTCACCATGGTAGGAGTAGCATTCCCCGGATGGGAATAAAGGGGGGTATCAGCTGCGTCTGCAAGACGATCCTGGCCATCCTCAGGAAGCAGATGTGATAAGCCTAGAAACCGAACTTTCTGGGGAGGGAATGTGTCCGCCACCACCTGCTTGCACATCCAGTGGAAAAAGATAAACAATTGAGAAAGGGAATCTGGAGGTAGGAGGTTTTCAAGCAGATAACAAGGGGGTCAAATGTTAGGTATTAAAACTTGGTTTTGGAAGCATCCTCACCGCGGTAGTAGAATTACACCAAGGAGGACAATCAAAGACAGCCTCAAATTCGGCCTCCTCAGGTGGTACGGGTAGAAGCCGAATCTTACGAGGCAACCGGCCCTGAACCTGCTTGATAACAAAATGCAAAAGCAGAGGGAAAAGATAACACATGTGGTCAAAAGGGAAACTACTTGAGGTAACAGCTTGTTTGACTTAAAAAAAACATTGAAAAAAGTAAGTCCAGTTAGGCTAGGATGCTTAGTTACCCGCTGTGCATGTTCTTGACTAGAGAGATGCGTGGTGAGATTTTCAAAGCCTTGGCCAGCAAGAGCGCCCCGTTTGCTGAGGCATACATTGCAAAACCAGGAGGCTGCAGATTCACCCGTCTCAGGGCACTTATCCTCCTCAAGTGCCCCTGAATCTGTGGGAAAAAAAAAAAAGAGTCAGCAACAGATTTGCTGGTTAATTCAACAACACTGTGAGAGAGGAAAACACACACACCTGCACCTTCCGGAAGAAAGCATTTCAAGAGGCACTTGACATCACTGTGAACGGCTCCAGATGGAAACGGCATAAGAACGTTGAATCCTAGCTCAAATTGTAGCGTGCCAAGATATCTAGACAGTAGTTTCAGATCGGATATGACCATTAGATTAGCTGGAGGTTGATTCTTAACGGTCCACCAAGCCACTTGCGACATAAAGTCCTTATCTGTTGCAGAAAGGAAAGACTTTGAGACTCTCTCTAATCATCAAATCATCAAGGGAGGAAAAATATACATGACTGTAGAAGGAGCCATAAGGATGAGAATATATTAACCGAGGCCGACGTGATTAAGAACGATTCCAGTGGAAGAGACCGCTCGCAGGACGTCATCAGGGATGTTTGTTAGTACGCCAACGGCAAAGATGGTGATAGGACCAGAGTAGCCTAAATTCTCTATACACCGTTTAATACACGGACCGACCTGACGAGCATCATAGCCAGGGGGAACCGGACACTTCATGATGTCCCAAAAGACCGCGGTTACAGCCACAGCCTGCTCCTGCATCGCCTTCATCATCATTCAAGACTTTATAACCTAAAAAAATCAAATTCAAATTCAGAAAATTGGAAAAGCAAATCGCGGTAGCTAGAGTCTTCGATCTAGGACGGACATCAAACATCAGATAAGTAATCGGAGAGATAATTTGACAAGGTTAAATCACCGACCTCGCTTATCGTCGAATCTGAAACGCCAGCCGACGGAGAGAGAGAGAGGAACAAGGCCGTAATTGTGTCGATCGATTCTTTTAGGGCAAATATAATAGTAACTTGTCAGATACGCGAGGCCCGTTAGTTGTATTCTTACCGCACCGACCCACAATTAATTTACTAACAAACCATTTAGCCCCTCTCACACTAAACTAGTTAGGGCTTGACTGGTTTAAACGCAGCGGTTGCGGTTGCGGTTGTGGGAGTTTGCGGAAGCGGGCGGTTGCGGTTTCAAGCGTTATTTAGCGTTTTGACCGACTGGTTTAGCGGTTAAAAATGGGTGCGTTTGCGGAAGATTTACGACTGGTTGATCACGGGTACGATAGCGGTTAAACCAAAGTTTACCAAAATAAATTTAATATATGATTATAAAAAATTATAAAACACCAGAAACTATAATTATGAAAAGTATAAATTTTTTAAACATGATTAATGATTAAAAACCATAAATAATTATTCAAATAAATTTTTATATTGAAAACAAAAATAATTATTAATATTAGAAAATTAAAGTTAGATAATTTTTTTTTTTTTATATAATTAACGTGAATATAAATAAGACATGATAATATATATTTTAATTTATTTATTTTCTTTTTTTAGTTTCTTTCCTTTTTTAGACCAACCGCAACCGCCCGCAACCGCAAACGCTTGCGGGAAGGAGCTTTTGAAATCCAGCGATTTCGAGCGGTTCGAAGCGGTGTGGAGCGGTTTCTATGATTGGTACCAACCGCTAACAACCGCAACCGACCGCTAACAACCGCTAGGCGGGTGCTAGCGGGAGAACCAATCAAGCCCTTAGTTGACTACTCAAAACTTGTAATTTTTAAAAATTTAGGGCATGTATTTATCTCTGTATGATTTTCAAAGTTAGTAACTCACGAGATCGTGATACATGTCAAATTTTTTTATCTAAAATTTTAATATATGTCAAATAAAATTTTCTTTTAAAAAAAAAAAGTAACAAGATAAAAAATTATAAATTTATACAGTTTTAAAATGTGAAAAGCTAATTATAAGAAAATTGTACATAAATTTTAATTCGGTTCGGATTTTTTTTTCGGGTAATTAAGGACCATTCAGGTAATCTTAATGTAAAGTGTGTGGATTTTGGAGAACAAAGTTCCTTTTGGTATTTTGAGCTATATTTATTGTTTTTGTAATAGTGATCAAATACACCCTAGGCAGGTGTTTCTTCACTTGCCAAGACCATATCCATCATGCATATCACAATTCAAATTAAATAAAAGAATATTTGTATTTTGTATTTTGATCAAATCGCGAGTGTAGTTTTTTCGAAAACAAATGCAAAATTGTTCCTGCAAATATCACTTTTTTTAGCTTCTCTATTGATTCACAAGAAGATTTGTTGAGACAGCTAATCCATGAAAAACCCAATCACATAACGCTCTCACATGCATACTTATGCTCTCCCTAGCTCTTCTATCTGCATCAATGTACCTATTTGTCTTCTCATAATATCAAATGTCTCTTTGTTCTTTTCGTCGTAAGAGTTTGGTTTGTGATTTTAAATAAATGTGTAGGTACAAGGATGAGGTTGAAAAAAAAAAAAAAAAAGGATGAGGTTGAAGACATAGAGAGATGGATGAAGAGAAGAACATGCCGTGGGCATGAGTGGAAACTAGAAAAGACTAGGGTTTTTATTTTGTTGAAAACTTAAAATTAGTTAGTCGTTTTATTTATTATAGAAACTAATTAATCAATATGGCAATAATGTCTTGCCTTCTCTGAAACTATTACTCTTTGTCTATTATTTCCTTCGTTTTTCGTTGACAATATGTCCTTGGCTCATATAGTCATATACGCTTTAATTTTTGGAACATTAGAATTTTTATAATTCTGTAATCATTAACACTACAGGAGTATTACTTTTGTTTCATACATATATGCTAATTAGTACGTCGTATTCATGTTTCATAAGATTCACAATAAAAATATGATGAAACCCTAATTAGCATTTCCGCATATTTGGTAAATAAACAATTATTGGTCACAAATTAATGATTAAAAACACATCACAATCAGTAACCATTATGTACATATATAAATGTTAATGTTTGTGTAATATTAACAAACCAATATCTAATCAAACGAAATTATTTACATAATTAACATACTGGGCGATTATTCACATAATTACGTACTTGTACTTGTTGATTTCTTGTAAGGATCTAATCCTAGACGGAGCTCAAGATCTATCACTTCTGCACTTTGATGAGATAAAGCCTTTTGAAGTATCCTCCTTTTCTTCTCTTCTTCATCTCCTAAACAGTTTTGGCTTTTATCATCTTCAACTTTTGTCGTTGGACTGACCGTATCAACGAAGAAAGGTAACTCAATAAGCTCTTGCTCGAACCGATTTCTCGAAGTGGTGCAAATGGTCTCTTCAGTATCTTCTTCTTTTAGATTCGCTTGTCGAAGTTTTGCTCTGTCTTTTCTGTGGATATTCATGTGCCCTCCTAAAGCTTGTGCGTTGGAAAAACCTCTCTCGCAAAATTCGCATATGTATGGTCTTGCTTGTGATCCGGACCATGAATATGATCGACGATCCACATATTTTCTATTCATTTGTATATGATATCGAGAGAAAGTATAAACGAGGATTTTAATTTGCGAATAGATGTAAAATTGATAAATCACAAGGTGATGGCTATATCATGAGAAAGGTTAAATATACTCCAACGTGATAATTGGTCTTTACTAAATTTAAAGTCAAAGCTGACTTTTTCTAGCCGACTAAAAGTATAAAGATAAGTTTCTTCCTAGCTGCTATCTTCTTTTAATCTATTGAGTTTGATCCAAAAAATAAAATAAGTTGTGTTTATTGTCTTGCGATGATTGGTTCTTTTTTCTTTTTAATTGGTTTTTGGCGTTTACATTTGTATGAAATACTAATGTATGTAGCCGACAATGTAGATATATACGCAATTTTTCCTTATTCAAAAGTAAAAACATAAAGTTTATGAATTTATCAAAATAACACACGATGTAAATGTTAGAAACTTATAATACATGAAAATACAAATGTAAACAGTTGTTAAAAAAAACACACAAAAAACACAAAAAAAAATGTAAACAAATGGGCGATGTCGTCTAAACAAACAATGTACATGTATTCCGGAAAACACATCTTATACACGTACGTGCAAGCGGTCGACGACATATATGTTTTACACTTTCTTTAATGAGTGTCATTAGAAAAATATACTTATGAAAGTCATTAGTCATTACACAACTATATGTTTATTGACTTAGCTTCATCCAAGTCTTAGAGATATGTACCTATATATAAGTCGGTATCATAGATCTCGTATACGCTATATTTAATTGTTTTCACTAATGTCAAATGTTAACTAATATTTTATTAGCATCTTAGCTTATGTTCATTTTTAATTTATAGTGCAGAAATTTTAACTATGAATATAGTTTACAATTGTTTCTTTATGAGTTTAGGTTTTTATTTAAATATCTATATATGAAGACTTAAGCCATGTTATAGAGAATATATATCCATCTTTAGGGAAGGGTTCACAATACAATTACATACGTTCGACCAAAACATATAATTTAGTGGTTTGTACTAATGTCGACATGAAAATTGATAGGTAAACGTTTACCTGTCGCAAATTCATCATGTTTTCTAATTGATTAACCTGCAAGCTCCAAAATCATTAATTTGCTCTCACTAGTTTATAATGCTTGTTCACAATTTATATTTCCGAACAACAACAAAACTAAATAAATTAATCAACTTAACATCTAATAGTGGCGAGCTAACTACGTACATACACGTTTAACTGGTCAGTTTGTAATGTATATATAAAAATGATGACGGCACTTGCTTAGTTATCTTGTTAACGTGAACACTAATTCATAACTTGTGAAGTGGTTAACGAGGGAAAAGTACTATAATCGTTGTTTAGGAAAAAAAAAAACTATAGAACAATTCCACTTTAGTTTCTTGGACTTATCCAACAAATATATAATTGAAATGGACAAACGTTGTAATCTCCATAGGCTTATTTTAACCCTACGGTTAGAATATGTCAAGGGTTATGGCTTCTAAGAACAACTCTAATTAATTTGAACATTTCTTTTACCGACTTCTCAATGTTTGCGTTTTCACATGGTATCTGTCTTTATCTGCAACGCAAAGAAAAAGTTTGAATGATTGTTAATCATTTTGTTTATGATTTAATTTCCAAAATATCATTTATATATGACCAACCATTCAAAAAGAAAGAAGTTCTGTATGAGATATAAAAACATGATTGAATTTTCCACCGATACTCACGAAACCCTAGTATTACGAAACCTAGTATTTCAGAAATTTGTCGGTCGGCCTTAGATATAGCTCAATTTCGAATCATCTTTTAGTCATATATATGGGCCTTAGATATTACTACTAAATACCTCTGTTACTGGGCCTGGGCTTACCTATAACTGGATTTTTTTTCCTTTTTTCTGAAATCAATGATATACGTATACCAATATACCATAAACCAAAAGAAAAAACATTCAGAAATTTCTTGTACAAGTTGAAAATTTCCGTTAAATTTTGATTTTCGATGATCTCTTAAGAGTTTTCTTGTAGTTACGAGAATCAAGATCGTTGCTAAAGATATTACTTTTACAGGTTTACTTGGATTTTGTTAACTTAGCCAATATGTAAGTTACTTCTATAGTTCTATATCTATATAAGAATATGATCTTGTAATTTTGTTCAGAGAATCTAATGCAAAAAAGAAAGTTATATGGCATTTTTGATGTTTCTAAACCTTATCAATCAATTTATCACTTCCGAATCCAGCTATAACCAATCCTCCTCAATATTAGAGTGTCGGTATAGAATAAAATTGAAGGGCAAGAGAATTCAAAGAAGATCAGTCATGTAGCTGACTGAGACCAAAAATCAAAGGTCAAAAATTGAGAAGCTTCCTAAAGAGACAAGTGGACAAGTTTTGACCAGTTGTCCATTTGACACATGAGGACCCATCACTCTCATCACTCCTTAAAGTCGTTGCTCTCTCCCTCTATCACTTCCTTTTTTCTCACAAATCCAGGATTCATTCATTCATTCACGTTTTCCTACACTCAACAAGTTTTCAACGTCACTATAGACTATAGTAGTTATGGATCGTTTCCTTTCCTAAATTGATACAATCTATTATCAAAAGAAAAACAAAAATCTAACAATTTTTACGTACGTTAGTATGTATGGATAAGTCCACGTTTTCATAAATGTCACATGAAATCCTACTACTATTTCTCAGCATTTAGTTTGTTTCTGAACACGCCAAAGGAGAAAAATGTCAAAAAAATCTTTTCGTTTATTGTATCACAAATTTTATATAATAATTGCATTACCAGTTTCAAGTTGTAATCTGACAAACCCATAAACCATTTCAAATTTCTTTTAAAAATAAATATATACTATATTATATAAAGAATACATGCAGAGGAATATTTTATATGTCGATCAATCACTGAGTAATTCTTTCTGATGAACGAACATTAGTTACATAACCACTAATAAGAGTAAGACATAACAGAAAGTAAATCTCAGCCTCTCATTTCTTTGTTGTCGTCAATCTCAGCCTTTCAAATTCAAGCCACACCTTCTTTCTAAATAATATTCCTTTTTTACTCTTCCTTGTAATTCCTCTGAATCATTTGATTGGTACAAATCTATTCTGATATCTTTTGGGAAAAAACCCGAAAAAAACCGCCATTTATTTTTTTTTTGGCCGTTTAATACGTGTGTTTTTAAATTTGAAATAAAAATACCTCATTTAATTTCGATTGTCTTTTAAAACTATCGTTTTTTAAAACTTGGTAATTTCGAACCCGAGACTTAACGGTCGTTACTGGGCGTAACGGAATTATTTAAGGGCGTTAAATTTTAACCCACGTTTTTATATAAATATATATTATCTGTTTGCAACATGTTATGGGATAGTTAATGCGGCCTGGTGGTTACGCGCTGGTTTTGTAAATCTCGAATGCTGGGTTCGAACCTTCAATATTTTTTTTATTTTTTTTTCCTCTCTTTGTTGCAGGAAACCCTAGGGCGACCATCAGCCGCCGCCGCCGAAACTTCCTCGAAATTTCAAATTTTGAATCTAGGGTTCGTCTTTTTCATTGTCAAGAACACACTTCATTACTATTTCATAAATGGAAACTCACTGATGAACCAATTAAACTCATGGAAAAAGCTGGCTTTGGATTCTTCCGCAAAATTGGTCCATTGAATCTAAACAATTCACTAATCTCTGCATTTGTTGGGCGTTATAGAAGAAAAAACCAATAAATTTAACTTTCGTTTAGGTGATTGGAGTTATCAGAGGAGGCGAAGGAGAGGACCATGGAGCGTTGCGTTAAAGAGGTAGGAGGAAGAAGAAAGAGAAGGAAAAAAAATAAAAAGGGGAAAAAAGTCGACCATCAGCCCTACTGCGACAACAAGGTTAGAGATTCGAACCCGGGTCTCATTGTTTACAAAAAGACACACGCAACCACCAGACCACATGGACATTCTCGCAATATGTTGCAAACAGATGGTATATATTTATATAAACGCATGGGGTTAAAATTTAACACTGTTAAATAATTCCGTTAAGCCCAGTAACGACTGTTAAGTCTCGGGTTCGAAATTACCAAGTTTTAAAACACGATAGTTTTAAAAGGCAATCGAAATTAAATGAGGTATTTTTGTTCCAAATTTAAAAACACACGTATTAAACGGCCAAAAATAAAATAAATGGCGGTTTTTTCGGGTTTTTTCCCGATATCTTTTCAGTGTTCACACAATATTAATTTTTGGAAATGTTGTAAGAATAATACTTCTGTCGCCATCCAGAAGGTTTTATTCAATTAGAGAAATTATTGTTTTCTTACAAGTTAAATTTAGATAAAGTATTGTTGACCACACAAAAAAAAGCTTTATATTTGTTTCAAAATTCTCGAAATAAAACCAAACAAAGCTGAAAAAAAACCTATAGTATTTCGCAAAAAACACGTTTCTAGAACCTCAGTATCTTATTTATTTACCATTTAGCCTATATATATTTTTTTTGATCAAACCATTTAGCCTATTTATCTTTTGAAATTTGTATGGGTTTTAAGAAATGATTACTTTTCTATAAAAGAAAAACTTCATTATTGGATTTTTGTAAATATTTTAATTGTTTTCCTACAAAACTGTATTATAAACCACTTAAATCCGAATTTGTGGTCTTAAGTCTTAACCATATGACCCAAAGATTGAATTCACTTCATTAAATTAAACTAAACAAAAGTGATCAACATCTCACTCATTGACCTTTGACCACTTTAAGTCACATGCAGACAAACTGGATTAATGCATCAGTCAAAATCAAGTGTGGGGTTTTTTAATAGATACTCCTCACGAAAACGAGCTATTAAAAAACCAATAGAATGAAATTAACTTCTATTTAATTAAGCTCATAATCTTGATCAATACTTCACCAACCACTACCACAATATTCAAATTATCACAAGCGTGGCCTCAAAGAAACATTACCACGACTTTTCTTATCCTTCCTCTTCACATCTTTAAATAACTTCAAACTTCTCTTCAATCTTTCTTCTTTTGTTTGACAAAACAGAGCAAAACTAAACCGGAAATAACCGGACAGCAGCCATGTTCATCAAGCTCAAGCTCGTCTTCTTCTTCCTTTTCCTTCTCTGTCAAATTCTGAGATCTTCTTCTCAAAATCTCAACTTCACCTACAATGGTTTCCATCCTCCATTAACAGATATCTCACTCCAAGGTCTCGCAACAGTCACACCCAATGGTCTCTTGAAGCTAACCAACACATCGGTACAAAAAACCGGTCACGCCTTCTATACCGAAAAAATCCGGTTCAAAGATTCACCAAACGGCAACGTTTCGTCTTTCTCCACCACCTTCGTCTTCGCGATACATTCTCAGATCCCAACACTAAGCGGCCATGGAATCGCCTTCGTTGTAGCTCCAACGCTAGGTCTTCCCTTTGCACTTCCTAGTCAATACATCGGTCTCTTCAACATCTCCAACAATGGTAACGACACGAATCACATCTTCGCCGTTGAATTCGATACAATCCAGAGCAGCGAGTTCGGAGATCCAAACGATAATCACGTCGGAATCGATATCAACGGTTTACGATCGGCGAATTACTCGACGGCGGGATATTGGGATGATCACGACGAGTTTCGGAATCTGAGTTTGATTAGTCGCAAACGGATTCAGGTTTGGATCGATTACGATAATCGGAGTCATCGAATCGATGTTACGATGGCTCCGTTTGATTCCGACAAACCTAGAAAACCTCTAGTTTCGTATGTGAGAGATCTTTCTTCGATTCTTC